AAACTCAATTCTCAACAAAATAAATGTATGCTTGCACATGTACTAATTCCTTTTAATTGTACAGTGCTTTAATTAAAAAATCAAGTAAATAAAAATAAATACTACCTTGTACAACCTTGTGCATTAGAAAGTATGCAATATTTCTGTAGATGACAGTAGTAGAACAACAAGAACACATTTTCAAGAAAAACCAAAATACGCGAGGCATTAAATATTTAATAATTTAACCTTTCCTTTGTTCAGAAGAAAATTGATTGTTTGATTATATTAAATTAGACATAATTAATTCAATTTTAAACAATAAGTTTAAGTGCATTATTAAATTATTTACAACAAGCTTTGAATAATATTATAAGTGGAAATAAATTGGCAATCAAAAATAATTATGGAGATAAATTTAAAAATGATAGACAAACATAAAGTACTTATCATTGAATAAAAACGATAAAAATATATTTTCTTTGCATTTTCAAATAAGGGTTGGTTTCTCAAAGGTACCCAAGATATATTTATCAAGGTTTTATCAAGATATATGTATCAAAGGTACCCAAGATATTTATGTATAGGGAAATTAAAACAACTTTGGTTGCACGTCATCAATGACAACATGGAGACATGACAACGTCTTATGGAGTTTGCTGGTGATCGGATTATGATGTGCAACCAAAGTTATTTTAATTTCCCTTTATATATCGCACTTGTGGTGTGCTGTATCTCCTTAAATTAAAAATAAAAATGTACCCCCTTGTAACGTCACAAAGACAGCCAAAACCGCCTAATGGGTCAATTTAAATATCGACTAACTTTGATGAAAATTTAAAAAAAGGGATTTAACATATTTGTTATACAGGGTGTGCCCATATTCCGTGGACGTAGAACTACTACGAATTTTTGGAATTAAAATAAGTTCAGTGGACATAATTTATCTCTATACAACAGTGCTTCATTGTCCGTTAGAGGGCATCAAACAACAAAAAAATAAACACACCATTTTTTCAGATATTTTAAGGACTATTATTCTGATTTGAATGAAATTTTGGGTGCCTATGTTTTGCTAAGTGCTTTAACATTTGGCTTTCACAAAAATCAAGAAAAAGTACATGAAGGCTTAAAACTCAACCGACAACCTTTTTTCGCATAATGGTCTAGCTGGTATTTAGTACGTTTTTTTATTTCTTGTAAAAAAACGCCACCGCGCATACTTTTTAAGGAAAAAATTATTTTTCCAAAGCTGATTTCCAAAAAACGTTTTTGTCACATCAAGCTATGGAGGCACATAAAATCTATTATGCTCTAATAATCTAGTTGGCGAAAATATGGAATTTTATTTTACAAAATAAACAGAAAAGGTAAAACATGTACAGGGTGGGTCAAATTCGACGCTTTTAAATAGGAGAACACCCTTTTCTATAGGAGATAGACGAAAACTAGTACCACAAATTATATTTGACAATAAGCTTCAAAAAAACCTAAAAAAAATATAAATTTTAAATTAATTAATGTTCGGGTTTATTTTTTCTTGATATTTTTTCCGTCTAACCAACAAACGAAGCAATTTTGTATAAAGGTAAATTATGTGCAATTAACTTATTTTGATTCAAAATAATACGCAGTTTTTCTATGTCCAGGAAATATTGGAACTCCCTATATATTTTGTAGGTCTGCTTTGGAAAATAAATTCACCAAAAATGTGTTTATCAAAAACTATGCAATATGGCGTTTTTTACAAGAGACAAAGAATGTAGTAAATACTAGAGGGACGATTAGATTTTACGAAAAGAAAATCTGTCGTCGGTGGTTAGAAAATATTTACACTAAAATTTATGTAGGGGTGGGGGTAGTTTTCACCCTTCCCGTACTTTTTCTTGATTTTTGTGAAAGTCAAATGTTAAAGTAGCAAAACATAGTCACCCAAAATTTCATTCAAACTGGAATAACGGTTCTTAAAATATCTGAAAAAATATGTTTATTTTTGAAAAGTTTGATGCTCTCTAACTGACAAACGAAGCACTTTTGTATAGAGGTAAATTGTGTCCAATCAACTTATTTTCATTCCAAAAATACGTAGTAGTATTGTATGTGGGACACCCTGTATAGGCATTCAAATTGACCAAAATCGAAATTTGTGCAAGTAGCCTAATGCCTCGAATTATTGTTTCTTTATAGTTCCAAGTTCTTGCAAATGAAAGTGCTTCTTGAGAATTATCTTAAATTATGTTTGTGTAACAGCTAATATTTAGTACGAAAAAATCCAGTGAAAGCAAAAATATATTTAAAAGAAATTTCATATCACTATGAACTATGAAGAAGCTTATGCAAGCGTAAGAAAAATTAGACTTTAATTTCATCGGAATTGATTGGGTTTTTCGATCGTTACATTACAAAATAAACGCTGTAAGCAATCTAAATAGTTGCAAAGCAGCTACTACGGTACACAAAAAAAAATTGGAAATGCATAGACATTGACTGTCCTTGTAAATACACAGAAATTACAAACGTGTCCTAAAGGAATAAAAAAACTGTTAAAGGAAAAAAATATGTCATTTTACAAACATGTCAATATATACAGGGTGACACAAATTCGAGGTACCAGCGTTGGTATTTTGGAAACCATAATAGATACGAAGATAGTTAAATTGGGGCAAAGTTACTCCTTGGCATGTTCACCAAGATGCCATAAATAAAGTTTTAAAAATTTCAAGGATTACTGAGTTTTTTGGAAAAAATGGATTTTTTTGAATATTAATTTTATTTTTTCCTGTCGTTACTTTTTAGAAAATCTAAAAAAACTAATTGCACATTCTCATAGCCACTTTATTAGGGCTATCTGATTTTATAGGTATTTATAGGTATATTATCGGTATTTTTAGATTTTCCAATTAGCCGATAATTTGTGAGATACAGAGGCCAATTGATTTTTTTTTAAATACGGGCCTGCATTTTTTATATCAGGTTTGGAAAGAACTCGGTCTCCTGAGTACAATGATATGCCACACCTGATACTTTTTTTATTCTAATTTTTAAAAATGTTCGTATCCGAGATACCAATGCTCCTACCTCGAATTTGTAGCACCCTGTATTGCGAATACCGAATACCGTTAACCGTTACGATATTATGAATATATAGACAGGGTGTCCTAGGCTGAGCGTGCATTTGAAGTTTCTAGTGAACTACAACGGAGAAGGAACGGAGATTTTTTGTATATCATTCTTTTACAACGACATTTATCGTTTAAAAATATTTTCAATATGGCGGAACTTTTGTGAAGTTGATACCAACTTTCTTATTTTAAATGGGTGCCCCCATTTTTATCGCATACTTAAATTATCTGTAAAATTTTATGAATATTGATGTTAACCATTCTATACCTAACATTAACCGTTTTTGAGGAAAAAAATTAAAATTTTTGATTTGTCAAAAAAATGTCTATAGCATAAAAGTCAAATTTAGTGATTACCACAGCCACTGTGACAAAAAGAGAAGTGTGGCTACCTATTTCAAAAATTAAATTGTTCGAATGTCATATAATAATGGCTCTAGCTGTCATGAGATTGAGCTATTAAAAAATTCTCATCAATCATTTTTTTTCAAATCGAAACACATTTTTTTATTTCAATATTAAAAATAAATCGTATTTTGGTTATTTAAGATTTAGTTTTAAAGCATATATTTTTCTTGATTTTATCTAGTTCCTTTAACATTTAAGTGTCAAACAATCAGGCAATTCATTTCCATCTGTCAGAAAACTATGTATTTGAATTTCCTATGTTATAGGTAAATACTGCCGGCCTTAAGAATTTAAAAAGTGTATTTATAAAAAATATCTCATATTTTCCCTTTTTAGATATCTAATAGTGGATATTATTAATAATGTTCCGTATGATCAGAAAAAAAAACGGAGCAAAGTAGGCTTGGAAATGATGATCGTTGATATACTGATTTTTGAACATAGCATCACAATATGAAATGGCCAGATCTATTTTACATCACTAGACGTTTAAAGTTATCAAGGCAAAAGGCAAAATAAAATGAATTATTAATTAATGTTAGGTATGGAGTGTTAATATCAAAATTCATAAAATTTCACAGAGAATTTAAGTATGTAATGAAAAATAGAAATTATATTTAAAATAAGAAAATTAAACCACCCATTTAAAATAAGAAACTGGCTGTAAACTTGCGGTATTTCCGGAAGTACCGTCATATTGAAAATGTTTTTAATCGATAGATCTCGTTGTGAAACAATGATGTTCAAAAAAATCTCCAATATAGATATTGTAGTTCTCTAGAAACTTCCAATGAACGCTTACCCTGGGACACCTTGTATACCGAATACCGAATTATAGCCTAACCATTTAAATTATGGACTTAATAAATGGCAACAAATAAGCAAAAATATAACAGCAATATGTAGAAAGCAAAATTGAAATAATAAGTCATCAATGTATATGACCTAGATAATCATATTTGTAAATACCTTTATAATATTCGAATAAAAATGATATATTAATTGACGTAGAAATAACATTTGATGACAATCTTCAAGCATACCAACTAAAACTGCTTAAAAATATTTACACAATTACATGTATTTAAATTCAAAATAAGTACACTAATTTTTAATTGCTTTTTACATAGCAATCTGCTTGGTAAAGGTAGCTTTATGTACATAAAATAAAATGCAATAGCTTTTGAAAAAAAAATGATTTTTTTTATATACTCACTTCTTTTTGTTCTAGGTTATAATCTATCGTGTCCAAATTATTCGTATGTACCCTTTTATGTACTTCTGACGATTCAATATATTCTCCAAAATTTCGATTTTTCTATAATTGCGTATAGTATTATCAGAACTTCGTAAATTTATATAATATAAAATATATTTTATATTATTTAATTTTTTTTATATTTTCATGTATAACTTTTAATTATTCTTTGAATGAAAATGTTAATAAATAACTTAAATAATTAAAATTCAATATCTTAATTAATTAATTACCTTATCTAATTGTTCATTACTGGCTGGCATGGCAAAGCTTAAACCTATGGTACAGAATCCTATGAAAAGTATTAGTTTTTCCATTGTGAATCTAAAAGAAATTGTAAAAATTAGTACCGTATTAATTATTAATTTGCTGAACACAAAAAAATCATTTTACCAAAAATTAATAAACTGTAAAAAATATTTTAGACAGATACTGTACAAGAAATAAATAATTATGGGAAAACATGAAATAGCAGGCATCTTATCAGATGCAGAATATAGAATGAGTAAGAGGGTTAATCACTGCGACTTTAAAGATCTATTGTGCCCCCCTTTCTTGAGTCATCACACAGTCTATAACCCACCATACCTCTGTTGTAGAGGGGACAGGGTATTTCCCATCCTCCTCTGACAACAGTTCTTCCTCCGAGGTTACACACCCTTCCACGGTTGGAGTTTAGCCCTCCGTGCCGCCCTTCACAGTCGAGGAGCTTGCCTCCGGCTAAGGAGCCCGTGAGGTGGAGGCTGGAGGATCTGTCTCTATTTTCTCCACCACATTAACTTGGTCTCTCCTTAGACCTGATACCGGTGTTGTCCCGTATCTATAATAGAGGATATCCCTCTTTCTCTATTGCCTCCTTGGATTTGAGGTAAATTCCTATTGTGAGGACCTGACCATGACCCTCCTCCCTCGAGTTGATGACTCGACAACTCGATGTCCTTACATTGAAGTTCTGACCCTGGATAAGGCTCAGCAGGTAGGTGGTGTCTTTACCCTTGCTCCTAGGCAGAAAGACCGTGATGGCCGCCCCTTTAGGGATGTTTTCTCCCTTCACTGCAACTAGTTCCGGCCCCTGCCAATTTTTAAGCTTAGGTGCGATTTCCACCAACCAATTCGCCGATTCTTGAGATACACAATCTATGAGGATCATGCCCACCCGAAAGTGTATCCCCGCAAAACGGAGCTGATCCACATTTTGTAGATCGTTAAGTTGCGATCCGATCGCCACTACTTCGTCCAGTATAGCCTCTTCTAGAGACGTTTGCTGGTCGGTGGTCAGAGCAACCTCTGGGAAATTCTTTGGCCGCACCGCCATTTTCACTTCTCCAGCAATAGCGGCAAAGCTGGTGATACGTCCTTGCTTACCTCCCGGTGTTGAACGGCCTTCCATAATGGCTTTTTTCTCTCCCTGTCGGAGAAGCGGTGAGAGGTTCTCTCTTTGATGGAGATGAGTCTTTTGCTTCCTCTGGAGCAAGTCCTTCGTGGAGCAGTCGGAGGTATCTCCGTGCTTCTGCTCCGATAAGCTCTCAGAGGATCGTCTAGCCCGCCTGGTTGACCCAGGCCGGGTAGACGAAACGGTAGCTTGTGTCGCTTATTGGGTCTAGAGGTAGGCTCCCGACCCTTGCTGGAGAAGGTGGTAGCTTGTGTGCCACTTGTGGAGGATGATCCCAAGCAAGTGTCAGCCGCCCCTCTTGTAGTTTCCTTTGGATTTGGTCCCTTGGAACTTTCATTTGTAAATGTTTCCAGTGTCGCTAGGGTGCTTCCCCACAGCTCCACCGGTGGTTTTAATGCTAGATCTCATAGTGTTATGGATAGTCGCTAGAACTACCGCTAGGGATAGTCGGTCCACTTCTACAGAGCCCCGCATGTAGAAGTAAGGGGTAAATACTATGGGGCAGCCCCTGATGCCCCAAGGTTGAGGCCAGTAATGGCTAGTCCTCTATTTAGCCACGCATCCCTTTGACCTGGTCCCGCCATCGTAGGATTTAGGTTTTTGGTGAGGTTGTGTCCTCTTGGTCCAGGCGGTTAAGCCAATACCCCCCCCCCACCCTCTACCCGCGAGGCATGACCACAGTCTGTAGAGGGTGCCTGGTATGAGGGACAGGGGTAGCCTCGTCCGGCATCGTTATATGTCTTGGTGCAATTCCCTGGCTTCGACACTACAGCCAGGTTCAAGACGATGAGTGAGATTCTTGTTAGACCAAGCCAGACGCTAGGGGGATTCCCCCTAGCACCTGACCAGTAGCTTCCCCACCAACGACAAGGTCTTGCATCTCCTAGGGGAATATCTTATCCGATAGTCAAGCAGCACTAAAAACGATCAACTCAGTAACCATCAATTCGAAGTTGGCCAAAGAATGCCTAGAAAAGCTGAACAAATTAGGCAAAGATAATAAAGTCCTCCTACACTGGGTGCCCGCTCACCAAGAGATAGAAGGCAATGAAAAAGCAAACGATATAGCTAGAAAAAAGAACCTCAAGAACCTGGAAGACACCGTCCGTCACCTGGAATGGGACTCCTGCAACGGTCTAAGACACTAGACTAAGGTTTTCCTTGGTTTAAGTAAGAACAATCTTCGAATTGTCACGGTATTTCTAACAGGACACTGACTCCTTAACGAACATCTCAGTAGATTGTAGCTGAGAAACAAAGGCAGATTCTGTGGATAAAATGAGGAAACACCAGAACACCTCATCTCTGAGTGCGCCGAGACGACAACCGTTTGTGCTATAAACTTTGGTACATCTGATGTCGAAGATGGAGAGTTAGCCTCTGTTGAGCCGTCTCAGATACTCGTTTTTGTCAAAGCCCTGAGACTGCATGATGAGTTATATTTTGTTATAACTCAAGAAAGGGGAACACACAATAGATCTGTAAGGTCGCAGTGATTAACACCCCTCATAAAAATTCAACACTGATATCTTCAATCATTTCCTAAATCTCAAGAAATCCTAATTTTTCTATTGGCTAATAATACCGCCTATTATTTGCATTTAATAATAATTATACATAATCCCTATATTTATATATCCCTGGTATTTGTTATAATTCGATTCTATTTTATTGTTTATACAATAAACAACATATAAACTCCAAAACAAGTAATACTTTCAATCAAACTTAGAACTAGTTCCTTGGAGTCACCTAGTGAGTCAAGCAAACCATTTTCAATAAATGCTTGTGCAACATTAAGACCGTTTCTACATTTGCTTGACTGATTCCACGCTATAATAAACACAAAATAGAAATTCCACAAATTCGATTGCTAAATGCCAAACCCGGGGTCAAGTTTTGTGCTTATGCAGTTCATTTTCGAAACTAATCCGTTTTTCGAACTACTGATTTGGATTCTTTTCATTTTTTTTTCCTAATTCTCAAAATTTGACTTTGACATTCTATATAACTTAAACGCTCCAATAAACCATAAAAAAGTTTGTTAACTTATTCTTGTATTAGCCAACATTAGTATATTGTTTTATTAGGAGTAAAAATGATTTTTTTTGTGGCGAGACTGTGCGTTTGACGACATATGAGGCACAAAAAGTCATTTTTACTCCGAATAGAACATGCTATTTTTTCAAACATCACAAATAATTTTTTAAACAAATTTAAACGTTCCAAATAATATAAAAAGATTTAAAAGCAATACCTTGTAAGTAATTATACAGGGTGAATCTTAAATAATTGCAAATATTTCCGATAAAACAAACATATTATTCTCTTTACTGTTTTTCAAATAAGTCAATAATATTTTCAATAAGTCAATATAAGTAAGTAATTATACAGGGTGAATCTTAAATCATTGCAAATATTTCCGATAAAACAAACATATTATTCTCTTCACTGTTTTTATAAATTTAATCTATGTTGCCATATTATCAAGAAATTATGTTTTTTAACTAAAAACTAAAAAAAATTCCCAAAATCTTTTCAAAATATTCCAAATTTTCAAAAAAAAAATACAAAATTTTTTTTTTTTAGTTGAAGAATATATTTTGTTATAATATGGCAACATAGTAGATTAAATTTACAAGAAAGAAAATCCAGAAAAGATCCAGTGGTTCTCAAAATTTTAGCAAAAAAAAATTTTTTTCCAAATTTTCAAACTAAAATATATCCGATATTTTAGATTTATTTGAAAAACGGTAAAAGAGAAAATAATTATGTTCCTTTTATCAAGATCTACCAGCCCTGTAAATATTTGCACTTATTTAAGACCCACCCTGTATATTGTCAATCACGTCGCAAGAAAAGCTAATACTTTTGTGACGTTTAAAAAACAAATTTTGGGGTTCTAAAATCTGTGCAAAATCGTTTAAAAATTAAATCATTAGTAGCGAGTTTTCTATCAAAAAATACAAATACTGGTTTATATACTTTAATTAAATATTTATTAATACGGTAAATAAGAAGCCAACTAGGTCAAGGAAGAAAAAGATCTATATAGTTATTAATTCACCAAAATGGATAAGTAATAAGTAAGAATTTGTAAGTTATTTATTTTCTAATAAATAATTACTAAGCCATAACGATAACCGTTTTAGTTAAATAATTTTTATTAAACCAAATTTTAATGTCTTACCCTAATAGATATATTTCTTTAACAATAATTCTCTAATGAATCAGTAACAAAATTTATTGCTTTTAGAGTATAGATCCAAATACATTTATTAATGACAGACATATGAGTGTGTTTAATGTTGAGTTAAATATGACATCATGGGCTTTTGGAATAATCTTATTAGATACTTGCATGTCTTTGTTGTAATATAATCATTTAGAAAGTGTACCTATTTACGTAACTGACAATGGCACTTCTTACATTAGAGACATCTTAAGGTATTATAAAAACATTAAGCCATTACGTGGTATATTTAAATCGCAAATGATTTTAACAATAATCCGAGTTATAAATTAATGGTGAATAGATTAGATATATGACCAGATTTGAACGCTTTTTTATAATTGACCCTGTATAAAATTTTTTAAGATATTGCACCATTATAATAAATAAAGAAATGCCTTTAAGGTCAAAAAATTTTACAATTTGTTGACAAAGGTAAAATAAACAAACAAAAGAGAATACAAAACAAGTATACAAATTACATTGTCAGTCTTATTGTTTAAAATAAACATTTATATGTAAATGTTTACAATGTCAAAGAATAAAAAACATAAAAATAAGATTCAAAAATATTTACTATATTCATAGTAAATATAGTATGTAATATTAGACCAGTGTTTACAAGATCAAATTCGATTATCAAAATACCGTATGATCGAAAAAAAACGGCGTCCAGTTGGCTTGGAAATGACGATCGAAGACATTTCCCATATAATTTTACAAGAACAGTTAACCTAATAGGACTGCTCATTCAGCCAAAAGTGTCCGCCAGGTGCATGCGAAAACTACTCGCTTTGTGACGTCATTGTAGCCCTTGTCATGGTTATTAGTCCTTATCCGGCAACCAATAATACACAGACGTGCATTATTGGTTGCCGACTGCAAAACGTTCATTATTTAGTTTATTTATTTAAACACCTTATATGTATGCAGTATAGAAAATTAACTGTATAAATCGTATTAAATACTCGGATAATGCATTTTTAAGAACAGCAGTTCCCAGCATCACCTTTTGCAAACATTCTTTTTAGAGTACTTCCATATTTTGCTTTAAAATAATTAATAAACAAAATCGTGGGCACTTAGTATGCACTTTGTCACAATCCACAACACAAAATGAACGTATTTATACACTATATAGCTCTAAAAACTTTAAAGACACCTTTTCACATTTAAAATTGACAAAATAATTAACTGAACATTTCTCAGCTGTTATTTTTATAAGTTTACCATAGGCAACTAATAATACACACTATCATGGCAAGGCTTTGACAAGGACTACAATGACGTCACAACTGTCAGCTGAAGCGCGGGAAGAGGCGAACGTACGTCTTATAAGGATGAGCAATCCTATTAGTTTACCGTTCTTGATAATTTTACATATAAAATAACAGCGATCTTCATTTCATAGCCATCGTTGACGCCGTTTTTATTCGATCATACGGTATAAGTCATTTACGGCGTAGAAAGCCCTGTCTAATACACAAGATTTCAATGTTGCGAAATGAAGAAAATGATGTTATGGATTTGATTTCAAATGGTGATTATGCATTTTTTTCGAGTTGTATAATATTGAACTTTTAACTAGCTCTGAGCATGGGGTAAGTAGATAAAGATCTTGCTCCGCGTTCCTGAGTGGATAAGTGTGAGATTGCCTTTCTTGAGAAGCTGATACCTGCCTACGTATTAGGCAAACGGATTCAAATATAAATAAGGAAGGAAGAGTTAATTATTTTTAATTTTTTAAAAAAATCCTGGCAATGAGTTCTGCTGTTTAGTCCCAGTGAATATCGAACAGCTCTCTTCTGGAGCTTGAAAATGCAGTCAAATTGAGTCGCACAACACGTACCCCAGAATGGAAGGGCATATCTGAGGTGCGACTAAAAAAGTGCATAATAAACAGTTCTAGCCACTGACAAGTAAAGCTCGTTAGAAATAGATCTTAATGCAAAACAGGCAGAGCTTAATTTTTTCAACAAAGCGTCGATATGCATGTGCCATTTTAGAGAATTGTCTACAACAAGCCCTAAGAATTTTACAGATTTTACGACGTCAATGCCTTGGTGTTGTTAAGTACAAAAGGCTGTAGCGAGTTTTTATACGACAAAGCTTTTACTTTTAGAAATGTTGAGACTCAGGAGGTTCAAATCGCACCAAGATTTAATGGTGATTAAGTCATTTGATATAATCCTATGAAGTGCCGTGACGTCCTTGTTACTCCAAGTGAAGCTAGTGTCGTCCGCAAAAAGGCATATTTTACCAATGATATTTATGGTAGCAATGTCGTTAATAAAAAGAAGAAGCAAAATTGGGCCTAGTACTGAGCCTTGAGGTACTCTACATTCTATTGGCTTGCTAGAAGACAACGTGGTATCCACCCTCACAAGTTGACTTCTGTTGCTCAGATACGACTTAAACCATTCGAGAGATGTTCCCCTGAACCCATAGTGCTGCAGTTTATTAATTAGGATCTTATGATTTACACAGTCGAACGCCTTAGAAAAAGCACAGAAAATTGTTGCTGTAGAATGGTGGTTATTTAGGCTGGAGTAAACTTTATTAAGGAGGGAAAACATAGCGTCACTTGTGGACTTGTTGCTTAGAAATCCAAATTGATGTTCAGTAAGTAATTTGTACTTAAACAGAAAAGATACCAGCCTTCTTTTAACAAGCCTTTCTATAATCTTAGATAGCGTTGGAAGGAGTGCAATTGGGCGTTAGTTAGAAGCTTGAACATTTATAAAACCATACAAAATTTATATATAACTTTTTTTCATATCTTCGATAACAACCACGTTATTGGACTTCCTCGCACTAATGGGCCACCCTGTATCTCTACATTTTTTTATGTAAACATCAAGTAAAACACTTCCTTATTCTTTGTAATGCTTGTTACAATTCTCAAATGCATTAACAGTTAATTGTATATTATAGTTTATTCACATAACCTTAACTCGATACACCGTCATAAATAATCTATAGCAAAAAAGGAATATCATTATCCTATTACTAAGAAACAATAAAGGCTGCTATAAAATATGTATTTCTTTATGTCATGATTTCTTCTACCGGGTACTGCAACAGCGTGTCGGAGATCTATAGCTAGTTTAGAATATAGAACTCAGAGATTTCACTTAAGTGCATCTCTATAGTGAGTACTATACCGGGTGCGTCTCGAAAATGGCTCACCTCCATAATTTTTTTATTTTTTCAGATAAAAAACAAAATTTGGTATGTTGGTATGTAACATAAATTAGAATTGATTGACGTATTTAGTTGTTTTTGGCCACTTCCTGTTTCACTGGAAATGCCTACAACTTTTGATTTTTAAACAGCACTATTACTTTATTCGATAGAAAATGACACTCTTTTGACGTTTTCGCATATGGTTTATTAGAAATTGTAACATGCGTTTCCTAACGACAATTTGACCCGAAATACCAAGTGTATGGTACCAAATTATTCTCAAAAGAATAATTTTTCCAAATATGCTAATGAGTCATCCCTGTTCCATTTGAAAAAATTGAGATATGATTAAAAAAACGATTTGGGCATCTTTTAACCGGTCAGGACAAGAGATTTTTCCAAGGCTCATTGATTAAAAATTAGTGTTTTTAATACAGCCATGGCACTCTAAATTGAAATTTAAAATACCATTGTTTTTAAACCGGAATGTCAAAAGTTGACATATAATATGTCATTATATTCAAAGTGTCATCTTCTATTGAATAAAGTAAAAAAATACCGTTGTGTGTACCATTTAAAAATCAAAAATTGTAGTAATTTCCGGTGAAACCAAGTGGCCAAAAAGAATTGAATACATCAATCAATCCTAATTTAATGTCGTATACTAACATAACAAATCTCGTTTTTTTATCTAAAAAAATAGAAAAGTAATAGGGGTGTACTTTGTACTTTTCAAACGCACCCGGTATATTACATGACATTCCCCTATCATTTCATAGTATCACAACAGATACCATTGTTATCTGTGATATTAGTCCACTTGAAAAAGAATAACGCTATACTAGTAATTGTTTTGCCACACAGAAAACAACTAATAATTTTAATAACAACGCTCTACCTATCTTATTTTAATATAATAATTTGAAATATGCAGGTTTTGCCTGGAAAATAAAAGTTAAACTTACCGGTAAATTTAACAAACAAAACAAAAAATGGAATAATCGCAAAATAACGTCACAGTCTTCGGTTTTCTGCACTCGTTGTCACTGAAATGAGGTTCCTTTACTCTCACTATGGCTCTGGGTCACTTAAATTCTCCTTCCATAATCAACCACCGCTTATTTAACCGTTCTCAAACCGTTTTACTTACGTTTCCTTCAGATAAATTTTCAGGTTACTTGCAATCGTCGAGGGAAACATAAAACTGCAATGCTCTCTGGTAGGGATGTTCGTTTTTAGAAACGAATATCGATATCATTGAATATATCCACAAGGAGCATTTATATTGCCACATACTGTATTTTAATAATAGTTTTAGTATAGTCTGTTCAACGGAAGTATCCCTGACAGTGACAGGTTTGTCTTGCATTTTAATTCAAAGGCCATATGCATTTTCTGTCATTTTTTTGGATGTCGTTAGGTTAGATGAAATTTTGAAATTTTCAGTTAAAAAATATATCTTAAAAACGTGACAACATCGGTAGTAGATTAAAAAGGAATAAATTACGGAAAAAATCCTAAAAATTTTTAAACTTAAATAATTCGATTATTTTGGACTTATTTGAAAAACGGCAAAGAGAGAATATGTTTCTTTTATCGAGATCTACCAGCCCTAAAATATTTGCACTTACTTAAGTCTCACCCTGTATACTTTTGTGTTGTGTACAGGGTGGCTCGAATTCGACGCTCATCATTGAGATTTCGGAAACCGTAAGAGATACAGATAAATGGAGGCAAAGTTGCGCAATTTGATGCTCAATAAAATGCCGTATTGCATTTTTTTATTTTTTTTGCATAAAATATTCTGGTGATGGAATTTTCTGTACCAAACGTCGGCAAATATCAAAGTGACTATATATAGTGTTTTAAGAGTGCTGAATTAAGTTTGATGATGGTCGCCAGAAGCCGAAACGTCAAAGTCAATATTTAATCACACAGAGTTATAGAGCAGAAAAAGTTGCCATAAAATGTGTTTTTCATTTTAAGTTATCTTAACAAATAAAGCCAGGAAACAATAGAAAACAAAATTGAAAATTCCGTTTTTTTTTCGAATATATTCGGAAGTATTCGGAATTTTTCAAAATGTAATACGGCATTTTATTGAGCATCAAATTGCGCAACTTTGCCTCCATTTAACCGATCCTGTATATCTCTTACGGTTTCCGAAATCCCAATGATGAGCGTCGAATTCGAGCCACCCTGTACACTAAATATTATGTTGCAATAACAAAAATAATACTACCTAGTACAGGGCGAACGAATGACAATGTCAGGAAATAAATAAATGTAGCAACTTGAAATTTTATACAGCAGAGCTGCCACCTGTATTCCCAGCGGGAAATTTAAATTCCAGTTAGTCAGCCCGGCGCCGAATATGTCCATGGTTGGCAACTGAATTTAATAATTACGCCCTCAGAATTGGTATCGCTTATATTTAAGACTATTTGAGGACTTAAAAATAATATATCACTCATATATCGATATACTTTAATGTTGATAGTTAAGTATATCGATATCTTTAATTATTGATAGTTTTGACCATCCCTTCTACAGCCGCTTATTTAACCGGTCTAAAACAATTTTTCTCTGTTCTTTTCTTCAGATATACATACATTTTCAAGTTACTTATAATACCTGTTGCTAAATTAATCGAATTCGTATGTTAGTACGATTAACTTCCAAATTAGCATTAATGAGCCGCCTCTAAACTATTCAACAGCCCGTCGGTTTTAGTTTAGTTTGTGGATTGCAACAGGAAAATTATCGGAACCAATTTTCTTCTTGCGATATTCAGTCGATAAACTTTATTTTGTAGCTTATGTAAGCTTATACAGGGTATTTTTATAACCTTTATTTGAAAATAAGGTCCAAAAATTAGCAAATTAGCAATTTACTCGGATAATATTTTGTTTGAATCAAATATTTTTTATTTTGTTATAGTAAAAATACCGGGTGCGTCTCAAAAGTGGCTCATCCCTATAACTTCTTTATTTTTTCAGATAAAAAAAACGAGATTTGGTATGTTAGTATATGATATAAATTAGGATTGATTGACGTATTCAATTGTTTTTGATCACTCCTTGTTTCACCGGAAATTACTACAACTTTAGATTTTTAAATGGCACTCTCGCTATTTTTGAAAATGACATTCTGAATAAGATGACATAACTTTTGACATTCTTGCTTAATAAAAAATCGTATTTTAAAATTCAATCTAGAGTGCCATGGCTATGTTAAAAACACTAATTCTTAATTAAGGAGCCTTGGAAAAATAAATTTGATTGTCTAATGTTTTTAATGTCTTGTCCTGGCCAGTTAGAAAATGCCCAAATCGTATTTTTAATCATATCTCAGTTTTTTCAAATGTAACGAGGGTGGCTCATTAGCATATTTGGAAAAAGCATTTTTTTTACAAATAATTTGATACCACACACTTGGTATTTCGAGTCAAATTTTCGTTTGAACCGCATATTATAATTTAAATTCAATTAAAATGTCAAAAGTCGACTTATGATATGTTATTCTGCTCAGAGTGTGATTTTATATCAAATAAAGTAAAAAAATACCTAGGGTGCGATTTATAAATCAAAAGTTGTAGTCATTTCCGGTGAAACAGGAAGTGACCGAAAACAATTGAATACGTCAATCAATCCTAATTTATATCATATACTAACACACCAAATCTCGTTTTTTTAACTGAAAAAATAAAAAAGTAATAGAGATGAGCCACCGGTATATTGTTTCAATAAACCACACAGATACAAATTCAACTTTTAAAAATGTATGTCATAAACACATCTTCTTGGTTGTGCGATAGTATTAGCTTTCTAAATGAACTGTTATTTTTAGTATAAATAATTAAATTCCACATCGTCTAATTGGCGCACCAAATCGACGCATTGACAAACCGCATCAGCGTATATTGAGTATGGGGCTCTACCAAGGCTCTACCCTCTCATTTTTTTTTTTTGATAAAACAGAATATTAATATCTATGGTAAAAATGTGGTTACAGAGCTAAAAAACGACCAAACAAGTACGTTAACAGTCAGAAAAAAAAAACAACTTAAAATGAAAATATTTTATTTAAAAAAAATTACTGGCTTCTTATTACGAATTAATCTCCTACGAGCATTTATAAATACCATTTACAAACTTGTAAATTTTTGAGCAAAAGTTTCATCCAAAAACTAAACTAATAAGAGTATGATTTAGATACAGCCAATGATCCGCTTCCCGCAACACCGCTCACAAGGTCACTGACAGCTCCCAAGGTTACAATTGGAATCTAGAATCGAGCAAAATAAATTTATAATAAAAAAATGAGATGAATATACTGTAATCATAGACCCATCATAGACCATATAAATTAACATATTTAGCTATATTTATAAACTTTTGAGGCGCACCCGTATAACCCGTTGTAAACTCAGTTTTTTTATAAACTCTAGTATTTGTCATATTATACAGGGTTAATCGAGGAGTTGTTTTTTTACCTTATCTTTAAAACACCCTGTGCAATAATTGCGTGTGTAAATTTTCTTAAAATATAATTTTACAGTCAAAACCATGTCTCCTGAGCATTTTGCTTTTTGGATCATGTCAATATATGCCTTGGTTAAATTTTAAGAGCGAAATTAACTTAACACCAACAATTCGCAATTTTTTTAATTATCATTTCATTTTGAAGTTAGTTTTCAATATGTATAAATATACTACTATAAACAGCCCATCATGTTCGACATTTGGAACATGCTTGCCAGGAGGGTTAGAGGTCGCAAAGCGGTGCAGCTTCATTAATTCAACTTCGCTTGGTTCTTAAAGAAGAATATGAAAGCATAACACAATATGATATATGCAGCCCCGATGACAGTATGAACGGACGTATACAGGCAGTTATAGCAGCCCAGGGAAGCAATGCAAAGTATTAGGGTATTTTTTACAATATTTTTTTCTGTTTGTATACTTAAGTATAACACTAAATCACCACAATACACCAAAACACTTTTACTTTTACACTGGACGTGCGTTTCGCTAACCATGTTAGCATCATCAGCAGATGATTATAAACTGATCTGCTGATGATGCTAACATGGTTAGCGAAACGCGCGTCCAGTGTAAAAGTAAAAGTGTTTTGGTGTATTGTGGTGATTTAGTGTTTTTATTTTGCTGTGTAACACCAAAGGTTCCAATCCTCAACTGTAATACTTAAGTATTACAGTTATATATAAGTCGGTTCAGAACGTTCTACGACGTTTTCCGACACCTAACCTCCTCTCTTCTCTATTTAGCCAGAGATCATCAGGTATTTCTCTATTTTCTAGTTCTTTATCCACACCCTCCCTCCAGCTTCGTCGAGGCCTTCCTCTTTTACTTCTGCCTCGAGGTGTCCACAGTAAAATTTGTTTTGGTATTCTGTGATCGGGCATTCGTTGCACATGACCAAACTATATGAGTTGTTTTATTCTTATGTCGTCCACAATTGTGTGTTGTGGACGACATAAGAATAAAACACTGGATGGTGGACTGCTCCCATAATCTCTCTTACTTTGTCGTTCGTTATTTGTTCTCTTTTGTTCTCTTTTTTTCATCAGATCTCCTTCGTAATCCATTTCGGTCGCTAATAGCATGTTTTCTGTTCTGCTTTTCAACTGCCATACTTCGCTTCCGTAAGTTATTATGCTTTTCACTACCGTATTATGTATGTTCTTCTTATTAGCATGAATGTTCTTCTTATTAGCTTTAGAGATTCCTTGATCCCACAGTACGCCATTCAACATAGATATTGCCCTCCTGCCTTGCATTATTCGATCTTTTATACCCTCAGTATTACAGTTGCTTTCTTTAATATCGTTAATTCTGTTATCGTTATTAATGTTTATTAAAACCAAGACTGTATCGTTAGTCTTAAACGTTTTTTTTTTATTTAGTATAAAGTATCCAATGCAGCGTAACATGACATTACGATAATAGTCACCAAAACCATCTCGTCATATTAAGAAATTACATCAAAACGTAATGATAATTTAAAATTGCAAATTGATCGTGATCAGTTCATTTCGCTCTTAAAAGTTAACTAAAGAATATATTGACATGAATCAAAAAACAAAATGCTCAGGAGTCATGGTTCTGACCGTATTATTATATTTTAGGAAAATTTACATACGAAATTATTGCACAGGGTGTTTAAAAATTAAGGTAAAAAAACAACCCCTCAATTAACCCTAGGGCTAAAAATAGTGCTAAAAATAACAAAAATATAACACTTCAAATTTGAACAAAAAATTCTCTGATGCGTTTTTTTGCATCTGAGTGTATTATTTTTTTAAAAACGAAAATCATCATAGTTTTTGAAAAAAAAAATGATCATCCTGCCATAATTGAATTGCCATAATTTTTTGACATTTTCTGTTTGTTTTATAATTGGATATATGCAAAGTGTATAAATCTGCAGAGCATTGTGTGACTTGTATTACACTGAGATTGTTGTGAATCATGAATGAGAATATGATGAATATTATATTCAGTTACTATATACATTAAAAATGGCAAAGTATGGTAATCGCAAAACAATTTCCGATGCACGTGATCAACTTTGAGTGACAAGCGATGGCGACAGCGCTGCCAGATTGTGATGGATTTATGAGATGAATCTTAATTTAAAATTGATAAACAACATATTTATTACATAATTTTTTAAAGAGTTCTAAGTTTTATTTGTAAATTAATAACTAATATTTTAATGACTAATTGATTTATTTGTTTTATAGCTTATTTTACTTATTACATATTGGAAAAAACTAATCCATTATGAAGCGTTATTATGGGTTATTTATTTATTGATGTACATCTTACAACGCAACGCCATAAGTGCTAATAACAAGTAAGAGGGTGCTATTAATACACAAACTAATAATCACAGAATTTAATAAAAACTAAATTTGAAAGTGGTATAATGTGCTTATCAATCCAACTTACTTTTCTGACTGCAGTCAAGGGTAATAAAGAACCTTTATTGTCACGTTCTCGTTCAAAATAGTTTTAAAAAAACAGGGAAGCTAAAAGTTCTTTGCTTCGACTGTTTAAATGCTTGGCCATATTTTTAACACACAATTTTAAGAAATGCAATAGAAAAACTCGAAAATTTAGTTCTTAAAATAACTGTTTTTGCTGCCCAAAAGTGCAATTTAAAAAAAAAGACTATGAAAACAGGCAAAGAAACTAAAATTACTCACAAAGATTCAACAACACGATATTATACAAAATAATGAGTGACACTTTAAATAATGAGTGACACTTTCATTATTATCAAATAATAAAGGACAACATTGCTGAACACGGCGCAATGTGACCAATATAGCAATAATAAAATTCGGTTTAAACTAATTTTTGCAATCTAAATAAAATATCTGTTACAATCATTTTCTCTATAAAATAAAATGAAGAGCTAGCTACTCGGTATCTTAAATTAAACACCAAATTTAAACATTTTTGCCAAAATTTCATTGAGTCAGGTTTATAGACTTTAGTGTCAATGTCGATATGATTGATAACGTGCATCGAAAAATGTTTTGCGATTACAATACAATTATTGTTTCTAGACTAAAAACATAAAAAATAGAGAATAAATTTTTACTAATTAGTAATAGCCTTGTTCATATACAAGGGTAATAGCAATAGCTCACGATCAGCTGTCAAGTAACGTAGGGATCAATTGATCACGGTAAACTTCAAACTAAAGTGTTACTTCTACGCCTACTGAGACGCCGTTTTTATTAGATAAAACGGTCTATGTTATTTACTATGAACCAAAACCATAACCCCAGGGACAATACTAAGGGCTGGCAAAGGTTAGCCTTGGATCGAGATTTCCGTATGTAAGAAGAGTACAATGCGTTTATAATGTACTGAACAAAGAGAGGACAGTAAACACGTTGCCAAACGTATGAAATAAACCGAGAAACTGTGCACATCGCTAAGAGACGTGGAAGGGATAGCAGATTTGTCGCAGTTGACCGGTCGACCCAATCAATACCTCTGTCAGTACTTAAAGTTCTAGGTAAAGGTGTACGTCATGCGTTCAGCTTCACGATTTAATTACGTCTCGTGATACTTAATTTGTTTATTTATTAACGAGTCGTTGTAATTTTTGCTATAGCTTGAATTTTTTTAAGTGCATTTGCATTTTTGGTAGAAATAAGTGGAATTGAGTGGGTGTTCGATAGTGGTCGCGCTATTAGAACTCTGAATTCAAAAATCGACATCTCGAAATCTATTAGAAATAATAGATTGTAGTTTTTCAAGAACTTTGTTAATATTTCTGCTGTATTTTCTTTGTAGACAGTATGTGAAAATCTTTATCAATAAAAAAATTACACGATTGCTGAAAATTGCTATGCTCTAAAAGTAAATGGATGGATTGTTTACAATTTTTGAATGGAAAAAACAACCTTATCGAATTTTTCTTATGTAAACATATTGTAAAATATCTGATCTTGAAAACAAAAACAGTTTCAATATCTAAAGTGGTTCTTGAGTTATGGCCTGCTGTGTTAAAAAGTTGAGTTTTTAAATTATCGCGATTACTGACGTTTTCTCGTTATAAAAAAATGACACCCTAACGATATCCTTATAATTCCATTTCAGATGCTCAGAAACATGTCTAATGATTTTATCTAGTTATCTCCTGAAAAAAAAGTCTTTTAAAAATAAGCGGTTTGCGATCGTGATTTTACTTTACTTGATAGGGAAAGGCGTATCGGCAACGCCGCAACAGCACACCGTCGCGCGTCTCGTCGGTCGGTCGCATTTCTCTCACTCCGACTTAATAAGATCCCTATGCGATTTACTTCCACACATGTAAATGCCGACCCAAAAGTAACAGTTGCCAGCACGGTATAACTTGTGTATAATTTGAGTATTCACTAGAATTTATTATGTAGGTACCTGTCTATATAAATTTTAATTATTCATCTTAACTTGATCACAGTAATTTGTTCATTTAGGTTAAAGCAGGAATAAATTTATAAATTCCCAAAGAAATTGTAATTTTTCTTAATTACTACAAAAGTTCAATTACTTGGAGTGATAGCTTCAAGCAAACATATAGAAGTAAGCTTAAATACACCATACCTATAACCAAAAAAAGGGCGCCAGAATAGCCTTTGAAATAATAATCAGTGAAGTTGCTAAAACAGAGGTTTAATTTTGAAAAAGTAAAAAATGTTAAGACACATTGATATGATAGAGATTTGTGTTTCAATGATTGACGTCTGAAAACTAGATCAGTTTTATTCATGTCACAGGGCCACTGTAACGCCGTTTTTTTCGATCATACGGGATGTGTGTGCATGAGACAAATGGTGTACAAACATCTACTCTACTCACATTAAAAATATTTCGAAACAAGTTACCGGTATTGTAGCTTTTGGTGTAAGTAGCTGAGTACTGACCACCGTAGCTAGGTGCTGCATAGGCATCACCAGTTGCAGCTACACCTCCATAGTATGGAGCCTCTCCGCTGTTATAGTTGCTAGAAAGAAAAAATGAAAATAAAAACAGTTATTTTGTAATATTCGATACCATTAATCAGTTTGATTACATAATTTTTGCTAATTAAAATTTCAATTAATAAATAAACAAATATGCTTATAATGCCGTTGGGGTATGCGTAGTTTTTGGTTACATAACTCTCATGTAAATAAAGTATCTAATAAGTGAAAGTGGTTTGGGGAAGAACCAGAAATAATTTTCGGAATTTCTTTTAAACATCTTTTAATGGCCGGCAATTAAGGTTATGAGGAAAATTAGCATAATAAAAACAGTTTTATATAACAGAATATAAATAAGTACTGTTTATATAAAGCAACCTCAAAGTTCCCATCTGGTAAAACAGTATAACAGTGATTAAAAACAAAGGATTAAAAATAGATGGGGAATATCTTAACCATCTAAGATTCGCTGATGACATAGTCTTAATTGCCAATAGTCCTGAAGAACTACAAACACAAATTAATGAGCTAAATACAGCCAGCAATAAAGTAGGTCTCAAAATAAATTTAGCAAAAACTAAAGTAATGTACAACGAACTAGTAAACAGAAAAGATATTCTAATAAATAACATAACACTGGAAATAGAAGAAGAATATACAGGGTGTCTCACTTAAGATGGATACAAGCCAATATCTTGGTTGTTTGTTGAGCGATCTTTTTCATTTTTGGCGGGAGGCTGTATGGCTATAAGACGTACATTTTGCCCAGGGTAAGAAATGCGATACCTCATAGACGCACGTTTTAATGGGGTTTGATATTTTTCGAGTCAAGAGTAAACTACTCTTAGAACAGTATTTACATGGGTGCGAACAGGGTGCGTCATTAAAATAAGACATTTTTATTTTTATAGTTATTTTTTTAAGTATTTACGACGCCACTGGATAAACAACAGGTTTATTATCAATAACCAATTATAACCAATTGTCAATGACTAATCGATTTAAGTTTTCAGATAACTTCCATAATAATTAAGATACGATACAAAAACACAAAATAGTTTCAATATATTTTGTTTACTTTAAAAAATTGTTTTTTTAAGTTTGCTAATACAAATGAATAAAATGAGTTACAAAATAATTTTAAAACGCAGTTTTCAATGGAATCTGAAATATGAGTTTTATTCGTTTTATTGTATTTAAAATCCAAATAGTTAGATATTTAATACAATCACTATTAACTTTGAAAAATATGCTCTAAACAAAGATTTATAAAACTATAACAAACTAAAAGTCAACATCTTCGACCAAACCACCATAAACAATTGGCGCCGGGAGGCACGTATAGCCACCCATACTAAAATATGTTAATATCTCTAAAACTACGACTTTGACTGATTTTGATGTTATTACAAATTTTGTTGCAAATATTATTCCTAATCTTAATTTGAAAACCGCGTTTCGCTAGCTACTGTAATTTTGGAGTTACTTGTTTGTGAGTTGGGACAACTAATACACAGCTTGTAACCTCTTCTACCAGAAATCAACAGAAGAATTAAGTTAGCATGGAGTACTTATGGAAGAAGCTCAATCATATACAAATCTAGAATGCCACTTTATCTAAAGAAGAAAACATTTGACCAATGTGTGATACTACCAGTCAAATGACCTATGCATGCAAAATCAGAACACTTAAAACGGACATTATAAGGAAACTGCAGGTCGCACAACGCTCAATAGAACGAAATATGCTGGGAATAACCAAGAATGGCCGTAAAAGAATAGAGTGGATACAACAAAGAACATAGATAATAGCTCAGCCACAGATTAAAATGCAATACGAGCCCTAACAACTATATGATGGGACAAGGTCATATTTTGGAATTATTGCGCTGGTTTTTCAAGATGACTGAAAAATATATGTCTAATTTTTTAAATATAAACATAGCCATATATCCTAAACAACTTGACAATATTTTTATGAATTTGTAAATCAGTCCATATTTACAATAGCGGATTTTGTTCATATAAGGACAAATTTGCTTACAACTAAATGTTGGGACAAGTATTTTTAAATATTTAATTTAAAATAATTAATATCGAGATTAATATCATCATAGGCGGCTTTGTTATAAACGTCACAAATTTCGCAAACTGTTTACTTCAGCATTGACAGCTTGTAAGTGACTCGATACTTTGAGTAGTAAAATTTACTGTAAGTAATTTTAATTTCCAATTTTGTTAATTTAATTGAAAGTAATGGTCCGTGGAAAAGCTACAAATCAAAAACTACGCGAAATTATCATTCGTCAATACAGTACGGGAAAAACAATTCGAAAAATTTCTGATGATTTAAGTATTACAAAAACCACGGTCTTTAATATAATAAGAAATACGGCTAATCTGCCAATGTAGACGTTAGAGGTAAAAGTTCGGGAAGGCCAAAAGTTGTATCTCAGAGAGATTTACGAAATTTAGTAAAAATTTGCAAGTCTGTGAGAAGAAGTACTCTTCGCGAAGTAACAGTTAAATGGAATACTGTAACTGGTTTAAATATGTCAAGAGAATGTTGCCGAAAATATATCCATAAATGCGGTCTGGGGTTTTACAGGTAAAGTTTATTTTGTGTGGATAATCAATTACCTGAAAATTATTTATACAAATTCTTATTTAGGCCAAAGAAAAACCACTACTGACAGAAATTCAAAAGAAAAATCGCTACAATTGGGCAAAATCTAAATTATCGTGGACACAAAATGATTGGAATAAGATCATATTTAGCGATGAGTCTAAATTTGATGTTTGCGTTGGAGATCATCGAAAACGAATAGTACGAAATAAAGCAGAAGCCTTTCATAAAGATTGCTTAAAGAGGATTGTTAAATTTAATAAGGGGCTTATGGTTTGGGGTTGCATGTCAGCGAGAGGTTTGGTCAAATTAAATTTTATAGATGGCACTGTTAACGCCCAAAAATATCAACATATACTTGAGACCTCACTTTTGCCTAGTGTTCAAGAATTGTTTCCAACAAGAATATTTTCCAACAAGATGGAGCATCGTGCCATTCAGCAAAATCAACTAAAAATTGTTTCGGTAATAATAATATGAAAGTTCTATCCCATCCTGCAAGTAGTCCGGACCTCAATGTTATAGAAACTGTGTGGCATAAAATGAAGCAATATTTAAGAAACCACCCTCAACGAACAATTTTTAATTTGCTGACAAAACTGCAGGAAATTTGGGATAATTTTTCTCCTCAAATGTGCCAATCTTTAGTAAATACAATGCCATTAAGAGTTCAGGCAGTTGTTAAGGCCAAAGGTGATGGAACTCCGTATTAAACAAATTTCTTGTTGTGCTGTCCCAATATATAGTTGTCAGCAAATTTGGCTTGATTTTGGCAAAATAAGCTATTATCAAAAGTGATTTGTTTGCAAAGTTATAAAAATGTAGTAAAATTGTCTAGATCATATTGTAATGTTTGAATTTAGAATAATAAACAACAAATTACTATTTTTATTGCAAAAAATACCTTGTCCCAACATATAGTTGTTAGGGCTCGTAGCAATGGGCAGGACACCTAGCAAAAAGGACGGACAACAGATGGACCACAAAAATTACAGCATGTTGAGTATGAGGCATTAAGAGCCTCGTGAGTACGAGGAATTAAGAGATCTAGAAGAAGACTAAACCTGAGATAGGACCGTAATATTAGGAAATTAGCAGGGATAACTTAAACCACAGACTATAGAAATATGTGAGGGAGGCTACACTATAATTTTGAAATAAATAAATAGTTCTTTTTTATAATTTTTTATAAATAACTGCTCGATTATATTTTTTCAGTCTTATACAGTTTTTTTTTGACAATATTTGGATTACGATATTTGGTTAATCATTTCTCACTCAAATTTTAAATATATTAATTTCTTGCTATGCATTCCAATTGTACCAACTATTTCTTTGTAAAATGAACTACTTTGAAATTAAAATGACAGACACATCTATCACTGTCAAGGATTTTATTATTTTTATTTTTTAAGTCTATGGTATAGACATAAATAGTACATATAGAAAATGCAATAATTAAAAAGGTAAGTCACTGTCAATTATATTATATTATATTCCACTAATTGGGAGGTGCTGAGTGAAGCTTTAAGGAAACAACAGCTCAATCAATATTTAGTTGTATCTTTAATTTTAGTGTAAAAATAACTAAAACTGAAGTAAAAAGTATAAAACAATATTAAAATATATTCAAAACAAGAAACTTGATGGTAACAAACAACTGTGGTATTGTCAAATTGTATTTAACTCAAAACAGTGGTGCTGTCAATGTATTTAACACAAAATGAGTATCAATGACATTTAAATAAATTTATTTAGACGTCATTATTCAGTACCTACCAAAATATGACCAACTTCTTGACAATATGGTGAACTTAATTTAAATAAAGTAAAGAACAGCAAATCAATATTTTTTTTTTGAATATTTTCATTAAATGTTAATACAAAAAATAATTGATTCTTATTTAAATATTTTAATAAAACACTTATAAAGGTGTCAAAATTATGCCAAAAATAAATTTATGTTCTATTATACTTACTAATATTTCGAAAAATACCATCCAGGACGTCTTCGAATTTTGGTTTTGGTTTTCGTAATCACTCTGGTATTTTGTTCGATCGGAACTACTTCTTTATGAACAAATTTCCTACCAAAAGAAACAAAACTATGTAAATTAAAAAAAACACTTAGATCGCCGACAAAACTCACGTTGAAGTTATTGGTACCACTGGTTCAGGCACTTCAACTTCCTTTTCTATCACTGTAGGTGGAGCTGGTACCTTCACTCTTTTTTCAATCACCGTTGGTACTCTAATAGTCTTTTCTACGTATGATGGCACCTGGATTGTCTTTTCCACGTAGTTTGGAATCACAGTACGTTCGACGTAGGTCTTTTTAGGAGGAGGAAGAGGTTTTTCTTCGATTTCTAGTTCAACTTGAGAGGCTGGTACTACATTTCCAATGTTGAGAGATCCAGAGAATGATGCTAAATCATAAAAATAATAAGAAAGTTAAAAAAATCACAATATATACTTATTTTTATAGGTTAGGACTGATTATACAGGGTGGCGCACCTCATTCGCCTCGGTTGATTATACGAAAACGGAAAGATGTAGAAACAAAATATTTTATGAGTATATGTGGGAAGGCAATGCACATAATTTAAAATTATTTTGAAATATACAGGGTGTGTCAGAACTAAGATCTACCGGCATTAGTGCGTCGGGCATCTGTAGCTCCTAGAATAAAAAACTTTAGAATTTTGTTTAAGTGCAAATCTAAAGTATGTTCTAGGATGTATTCCAGGAATATATTTTAACTTCTATAGGGTGGCTCAAAAAAGTGTGAGTGAATCGGGATTAATTTTTTTAAATGTACACCCTGTATATTATTGCATTTTTGGCTTCTTTTCAGATCACTTTACATATTCCTAAGATATAAGTAAATATATTTCGGTAGTTTCAGAGATATTAATAAATATATAAAAAATATATATTTTTCAGCCTTTCTTAAAAAAAATTATTTAAAATACAAGAACTGTTCTGAAATCAAAACCATATTAGATATTTACTTTAGATGGTATGTACTTACTTTGCTATAAATATGGTAATCGAAATATCATACAGGATGTTTAAAATTTTACGCCAAACTTTCTAAAATATAAAATAATTTTTCTTCGTTTTTTTAAATGGAACACTCTGTATATTATTTTTTCAATTGATAGAGAATTAAAAAATGAACATTTTTTATATTTAGAGTATTTCAATTTTTCAAAATTTTTAACGGTTTTGCAGATATTCGCGGTTTTATATTTCATATGGCATTTTCCATAGTAAATTTCTATCAAAGCCACCCAATGATTTTTCTCTCGTATTTTACCGTTGAGAGAGCCATATGAAATAATACTGCGTGTATCTGCGAAACCATTAAAAAAATTTAAATACTTTAAATACAAAAAATGTTAATTTTTTAATTTTCCATCTAATAAAAAAATATTCTACAGGGTGTTCCATTTAAAAAAACAAAGAAAAAATATTTTATATTTTAGAAAGTTTGGCGTAGAATTTTTTTTTTTATTATTTTTTTAATAAAGCTTGAAAAATATAATTTATTTATTTATTTATTAATATATCTGAAACTATCTAAATACATTTACAAATATCTTAGGATTGTGTAATAATTGGTAATAATAATAATCTGAAAGGAAGCCAAAAATGCAATAATATACAGGGTGTTTCATTTAAAAAAAATCATCCCGATTCACTCACGCTTTTTTGAGCCACCCTATAGAAGTTAAAATATTTTCCTGAAATACATCCTTGTACATACTTCAGATTTACACTTAAACAAAATACCCAATTTTTTTATTCTAGGAGCTACAGATGCTTGACGCACTATTGCCGGACCCTGTATACCAAAGTTATATTTTTTCTTATGGAACACCCGGTATTTTATTTCATTTTTGGATTCTTAGACATAAAATAATGCATTTATTATAAGGGTTTAATATGTTTAAAAGCTTTGGTTTTTGAGATATTTAAAGATATTTAAATATGCATGCTATAATGAAAAAGTTTGTCAACACCTTGTACATAACTTTTCAGAATTAATTTTTGTGCTAACCCTCAAACCAGAGAAATAAACTTTACTGAAATAAAAACTTCGTTATTTCAAATGGAACACTATGTATTTTTTAAATAAGTCGAAGCAGATTTAAATGCTCTTTCAACCTATATTAGAGTTTCCTATACCTATCTGGCTCAGATTTTGAATAAAAAGCGATTTTTCAATAAAATTGTAATCAAGATTGCTGGTGTCGCCATGGCAATTTTCTAGTGACACTTAGTAGCTATTTTCAAAATCGACATTAGTTTATGGACTTTATTTAAATTTATAACATCGGTTATTTTTATTTAATTTACCTACAATAATGTTAATAAGTAAGTATTTATTATTTTATCAAAAAAATGAAGCAGTATCTGCTGGGGGAAGGAAGAGATACTAGTGATTTTATTTGCTTCTTGGCCTCAAGGGTTTATGCTCAAAGATAGATAGATAATACAGGGTGTCCCAGAAATAAGTGCAAATATTTTAACTGGTAGTATAGTTCAACCCCAGAAACATGCCTATGAGGTTTTTTTCGCGAAAAAAAAATTTTGAAAATTCGAAATTTTTTGGAAAAAATTTTGGAAATTTTTTTAGTTTTTAGTTAAAAAACATAATTTCTTGATAATATGGCAACATAGGTATTAGATTAAATTTACAAGAAAGAAAATCCAGAAAAGATCGAGTGGTTCTCAAAATTTTAGCAAAAAATCATTTTTTTTGGAAATTTTCAAAGTAAAATAACTCCGTTATTTTGGACTTATTTGAAAAACGATAAAGAGAAAATATGTTTCTTTTATCGAGATCTACCACCCCTTAAAATATTTGCACTTATTTCTGGGACACCCTGTATAGATAGATACATAGATAGATAGATAGATAGATAGATAGATAGATAATAGGAATTTTATTGACAAGCGTTCCTTTGAAAAACTACTTTCCTATTTCGCAGAGCTGATAGTGTGGTATATGAAAAACCTATTAGGCAGAAACCTGTCTTTGGAAGTGAAGAAAATGAATTTGCCTTAATTGGTTCTTTTATAGAAAATCCGATATATCTATAAGTCATTGTAATATAAATCAAAGAACTACTTGTTTATTTTTCTTGATAAAATAATAAATACTTACTTATTAAACTATTGTAGGAAAATTAAATAAAAGAAAACTGTTATAAATTTAAATAAAGGCCATAAACTAATGTCGATTTTGAAAATAGCTACTAACCGTCACTAGCAAGTTGCCATGGCGACACCGGCCATCTTGATTGCCATTTTATTGAAAAATCGCTTTTTATTCAAAATCTGAGCCAGATAGGTATAGGAAACCCTAATATAGTTTGAAAGAGCATTTAAATCTGCTTCGACTTATTTAAAAAAATACCTAGTGTTGCATTTGAAATAAGAAAGTTTTTATGCAAAATAAATATTTAAAATAGACTAGCAATTTTTGATACCCCTGTATACATTTAAGGAAGAAATCTATTTTTTTACTAAAGTTTATTTCTCTGGCTTCAAAATCAACACAAGAATTAAATCTGAAAAGTAATGTACAGTGTGTTGACAAACTTTTTTATTATAGCATGCATATTTAAATATCTTTAAATATCTAAAAACCTAAAGCATTTAAACATATTAAACCTTTATAATAAATGCCTTATTTTATGCCCAAGAATCTAAAAAACAAATAAAATACCGGGTGTTCCATAAGAAAAAATATAACTTTGATATGGATTTTAGTTCTGACACACACTGTACATTTGAAAATAATTTTAAATTATGCACATTGCCTCTTTACATATACCCATAACATATTTTGTTTCTACATCTTTCCGTTTTCGTATAATCAACCGAGGCGAATGAGGTGCGCCACCCTGTATAACTATATAAAGTTCAAAGAAAGAGTACACAATATGACAGCGATAGATGCTGTCTGTCATTTTAATTATATTTTCTGTATTTGTTTGAAAGTTGTCTGTCGAGTATTTATTCAAGTTAAATCAAATAAAATATGATGACACTCAATTATAGTACCATGTGTCATCGAAATAAAACGGCGTCAGCGATGGCAATGAGATGAAGATCGCTGTCATTTTATATGTAAAATTATATGGGGACTGTCATCGATCCTCATTTCCAAGCGAACTGGACGCGGTTTTTTTTCGATCATACGGTAAATACTATTCACATTAAAATTATCAAATATTTTAGTATTAATCTAGTGACAATATTATAACAGATAATCTAGTAACAATACTCAGAAGTATTAATATACCAACACACATTTAGACAGTAAATATTTGTCTATTTACAGATTTGTTAACTTTTTCATAATATATTTTTATTCGATCCTATTCTAACATGCAAAATATTTACCTTTATTTATCCAAAACCATTTTATTCCCCATTTCACACTTGGTGTGCGTTATAATAGCACATTTCCATCAACCACATCAACCAAAAGTACCAAGAAATATTTACAAAAATACGGACAAAAAGTAATATTAGTTTTTAAAAGGAAAACATAAATATAAATGGCAGAGAAAAAATAATATAAGTTTGAAACCAAATACCACAAAAATCGATTGCCAAATTTTATAAATATCAGTTGAACTGTATTGAATGTAAAGATGAACTAATAATAAAAGATTCATAATGAATTTTCATTGCTTTTCTTTTTAAGATCATACTACCACAGAACTATTGTAGCCAGAAGAAAACAAAAGCACAATACTGGTATTATTGCATGCGCCCAGTGATGTTTATAATATTATATTTTGTTTTTTATATTATATAAATATAAAAGAAAATGTTCAAAACATTTTGGTGAATGCTTTATGTGTTTACAGAAAAATATATAATGGAGAGATTTGCAGGAGTACAGATCATAATTTCCTGTAATAATAGGTAATATTACTTATATTATAAGTTTCTAATGTTACTTTTATACATTTTACATTAAAGTAGCAATGCTGAAATAATAAAAAAATACTATGTACACTACTAAAAATAGAAGCAATGAAAGTGTAAAATCAACAGATATTTATAAAAAATGCATAGAAAAAGGAAGATATTGTTAAATTTATTACTTTATTTCAAAGTAAATACAATTAAAAATAAACAAATATACTAGACAAATCTAAAAAATAGTAGTAAGTACAAAAATATAAAATCTGGGTTGTACGAAAAATATTATGTACTGTGATTCTTTGGGATATTTTTCTTGTACAAAAATACATAAAGATTTAGGACATATTTAACACTTATTATACAAGATACAATCAATAAAGCGTGCAACTCTACCTCCAGCGGCACCCGATCCGCTGACTTTTTCTTTGACTACTGTTTTTGAGGCTCCTCCGGCGGAAGCTGTAGCAAAAGAACCTCCTGCTGCTCCACCTTCTTCTGTTAAACCTCCAATTCCGGCAGCTGCACCTACACCACCACCCGCTGTAGCTCCTGCATACAGACCTCCAACAGATCTACCTAGAATTTTTTAAAATATGTGATAAATATTCAATAATTATGAAAAAATGAGTCTTGGATTACGGCAAATTAATAAAATAGCGTGTTTTCCATAGCAACTGTTAAAATTGCCTTATATCTATCAAAAATAGTAGATAAAAAAGTACTTTAACCTAGATTAAATGATACTTTAACAGCGAGGATAGGTTAAAAACCTTATTTCTTCTCGCACGTTTTTTAATTGCTTCCGTTTTTGAAAATTTTTGTATTCCTTTTCATAAGTTATTCGGGATTTAAATGGAAGTAGTTTGGATATGACGTTTGTCGCCTCCGAGGTCGCCTCAGCCTGAATATCTGTTAGTAATTTACTTATTTCATTTTGAGCCATTTCTGGCTCGAATTCAACCAGCAATCGACACGAAAGAGAATTAAAAAATATTGACTCAAAACTGACAACTAAAGAGACATCTTTATTTATTTGTCAAATTGCATAGAAACCAACTCCAATCCAGCACAATATTTTTTCTACTCGTAATAAATTCCTTGAAATAATAATCTCTGACTATTTGTTAAAACGTAAATCGCTATGGAAAAAAATATTGTTTTATACACGACGATAAAATTGCATTATATTATTATTTATTATATTTTAACTAACTCTGAGCGTGGTGTGGGTAGATAAAGATTTTGCTCAGCGTTCCTGAGTGGATAAGTATGAGATGGCCTTTCTTGAAAAGCTGATACATGCTTACGTATTAGCAACGGTATTAGGCTAAAAGCATAGTGGCGCGACGAGGAGAGCGGCGAGCAAGCAGCGCGATATCGCGTCGATCGAGCCTCGGGGTGCTAAAACATAGTAGAGCGGCGAGGAATAGCGAGGTACTTGCAATTTTATTAGTTTCATTTGCTTATTTATTATCTAAAATGTCAACAGCAGCTAAAATTCTGGACAGTAGTGTCGCAAACATTTGGTTTATTCGAAACCAACAAACGAAAAGATGTAGTGTACATGAAATTTATACACTACAACATGAAATTTTCAAAACCCGGAGAGATAACTTATCTAAAATGTACCGGTTATGGTGATTACTATCTTTTAATCCAATCAAAACTCTCTTACACTAAATCTATTAATTTTTGGAAATCTATCGTTTTCTACAGCGCGACAAAGCGACGAAAACAAAATAATTTGAATCGATCTCGCCGCTCGATCTAACCGTTCGAACAGATCGCTTTACTATGTTCACGCGTACTTGTCTTCACAGGTTTGTTTTGGACGCGACGCGACGTCGCGCTGCTTGCTCGCCGCTCTCCTCGTCGCTGCACTATGTTCTCAGCCTTTAAGTAAACGGATTCAAATATAAATAAGGAAGGAAGAGTTAATATTTTTAATTTTTTAAAAAAGTCCTGGCAATGAGTTCTGCTGTTTAGTCCCAGTGAATATCAAACAGCTCTCTTCTGGAGCTTGAAAATACGGTCAAGAATCGCACAACACATACCCCAGAATGGAAGGGCATATCTGCTTATTGCTTATTGTAGAACTTTTTACGTAGAATACAGTGGCGTAGTCTGTTTTTCTACCAAAAAAATATTTATGAAAATATGAACTAAAGTTATGTTTTTCAAAGGGAACACCCTGTATATTTATAAATCATATGATCTGTCTTGCTATGAACTTCTCAAAAATATATTCACTTCTCAAAAATATATGTATTTTCACTATTTACTGCAATATTTAAAATATATCATTTTCTTATTTGTAGGCCGTGATAAATAACAAAAAATCAAAATGGTATTTACTTAAATAGTCATACACATATTAAAATTTATTTGGGATTGATATATTTTACTTTTGAAATAACTGTTACCACTGAAACTGTGAATATATTTTTCTTTTTTTATAACGGGATGGGTTTGCAAATATCTTAATCTTGAATTATTAAAGCATTTTTCAGGTGTTCGACATTGTTGTAGTACCCACGATATATTTCGTATTTCAAAAATCCCCAAAATCAGAAATCGAGAACGGCGAAATCCGGGAATCGAGGAGGCTATCGATATGTGTTCATTGGTTCCAATTCATTGATTTGAAAAATAATAATTTAACAGTATTCTAATATTTCCATAGTTGTGAGGGGGAATGTTCCCCATCTTGCTGAAAGTATATTTCACGTAAATTAGCTAAAGGAATATTTAAAATTTCCGATACGATAGATTATTCTTACGTATACACGTATTCCAAGATTTACAAATAGCGGTAGAGACTTAAGTTTCCCTAATATATAAAGAATTTATTAGCGGCTCCCAAAATAAAACAAGAGACAGATAGCAGTGTACTTTTAATAATTCTTTAGTTTCTTTTATTATCAATCATGGCCTACTAATAAATATGATCTTTTAATAAAAACTTTTAAATATTGCAGTAAATAGTGAAAATAAATATAGAGTGATATATATTTTTGAGAAGCTTGTGGCCAGGTAGATCACATGATTTATAAATATACAGGGTATTCCATTTAAAAAAACAAAACTTTAGTTCATATTTTCAAAAATATTTTTTTGGTAGAAAAACAGACTACGCCACTGTATTCTACGTAAAAAGTTCTACAATAAACAGTTTTCACCTTCCCGATAGCTTTAACAATAACAGAGATACAGGAGGTGACCCAAATTGCAAAACTTTCAAAAAGACCCTGTAGCTCGGAAACGAAAAGGGCTATGAAAATTGTGTTTACGGCATCTTCCGTTTGACAAAAAAGTGAGACAGGTTTGTGCAAACCGCACCCTTCTATCTTCACTAAAATGGGACACCCTGTACACTACATGTTTTCGTTTGTTGGTTTCGAATAAACCAAATGTTTGCGACACTACTGTCCAGAATTGTAGCTGCTATTAACATTTTAAATAATAAATAAACAAATGAAATTAATAAAATTGCAAGTACCTCGCTATTCCCCGCCGATCTACTATGTTTTAGCACCTCGAGGCTCGATCGACGCGATATCGCGCTGCTTGCTTGCCGCTCTCCTCGTCGCGCCACTATGTTTTTAGCCTAATACGTAAGCATGTATCAGCTTCTCAAGAGAAAGGCCATCTCATACTTATCCACTCAGGAACGCTGAGCAAAATCTTTATCTACCTACACCACGCTCAGAGTTAGTTAAAAGTTCAATATTATACAACTCAAAAGAAATGCACAATCACCTGCCATTTGAAATCATATCCATAATATAATTTTGTTCATTTCGCACAGCATTGAAATCTTATTTACTAAATACCGTAAATGACTTATATTTTGATAATCGAATTTGATCTTGTAAACACTGGTCTAATATTTGCTCTTACTATATTTACTATAAACTTACTAAATATTTTTGAATCTTATTTTTTTTTTATTCTTTGACATTGTAAACATAAGACTGATAATGTAATTTGTATACTTGTTTTGTATATTCTCTTTTGTTTGTTTACTTTACCTTTGTCTACAAATTGTAAAATTTTTTGACAATAAAGGCATTTATTTATTTATTTATATTTATTTTAATACCTTCTGGTCCAACTCTGCCTCCTAGACCTGCACCAGCCCTTTGACCAAATGGAGTCTCAGCTTCGGCATGGAGCCCCCCTTGGGTGGCATCACCGTTCAGCAGTCCCCCCAAACCGGCAGATGCTTTAAATCCCATAAAATTCACTCCTACATTACCATCTTTAAACGTGATTAAAGGTGGGATCTAAAAAAAATAGTTAAGTTTTATATACAAAGTCAGCAAATTATTTTGTGCACCCTGCGTTATATTTTAAGATGGCAAATATGACTATCTGAAAGTGAGGTCAACCACATTGACACATCTTCATGATATTGTCCAGTTTTGTTGATATACCTACTATTTGTTTCGTCAAATAATAGAAAAGCAATAAATGAATGGGAGATATCAACAGGAGCATAGACAACAAACCTGTATTTATATTATAGTGGTGAATAAAATTAAGTTGGTAATTTTATTTCATTTTTAGTTGATGAGATAAAACATGTAATTTTTAAACAAAAATAATATTAATCAAAATAGAATTCAAATAAATGTTGTCTGAATGTCACAAAAAATATTAACTATACAAAAAATAACTCGTGTGAAGTTGGCACCCTTTTTTCAAAAAATGAACTGGAATTTGAGAGTTCTGGATAGATTTACAATAGTTCTATAGTTCTTGATAAGTTAGAAAAATAGTTCTGGTTAATTTCGGGAGATGTGACAGGGGGGTGGCAACTTCACGTAGCACCCTTTTTTATTCTGGAACAGTTCTGATAGTGGAAATGCATTCTAGAACAAGAGTTCTATAGTTCCTGACTATTGATCAAAATAGTTCTATTGTATTAACCAAGTTATGAACAAAAATAAAATGGCAGCCTGCGCAGTTTAAATCGATTTTTTAGGTATAAAATGATTTAAAGAATAGTTCTGAATAGAGTTCTGAATAGCACCCCAAAAGTTCTATAAGATGTACTATTTGATTTTTTAAAAATACCAATAATTAAAAATTTCATGGATGCACGACTCTAATTATTGGTATTTTTAAAAAATCAAATAGTACATCTTATAGAACTTTTAGGGTGCTATTCAGAACTCTAACCAGAACTGTTTTTCAACATTGCATTTCCTTCGTAAAGTCGATTTTTATGTCTATCTATAGAGTCGTGCATCAATGAAATTTTTAATTATTGGTATTTTTAAAAAATCAAATAGTACATCTTATAGAACTTTTCTGGTGCTATTCAGAACTCTAACCAGAACTGTTTTTCAACATTGTATTTTGCGCGTAAAGTCGATTTTTATGTCTATCTATAGAGTCGTGCATCAATGAAATTTTTAATTATTGATATTTTTAAAAATCAAATAGGACATCTTATAGAACTTTTGGGATGCTATTCAGAACTATTCTTTAAATCATTTTTTACCTAGAAAATCGAGTTAAAATGCGCAGGCTGCCATTTTATTTTTGTTCATAACTTGGTTAATACAATAGGACTATTTTGATCAATAGTCAGGAACTATAGAACTCTTGTTTTAGAATATATTTCCACTATCAGAACTGTTCCAGAATAAAGAAAGGGCGCTACGTGAAGTTGGCACCCCCCTGTCATATCTCCCGAAATTAACCAGAACTATTTTTCTAACTTATCAAGAACTATAGAACTATTGAAAATCTATCCAGAACTCTCAAGTTCCAGTTCATTTTTTGAAAAAAAGGTGCCAACTTCACACGAGTCAAAAAATAATGTTCACGAAAAATTTTGAATTGTTAAGTGACAATATATATAAATGTAATAATAAAAATTACTTAAAATTTCTAGTGTACATACCGTTCCACTGACAGATCCACTAGCTTGTACATCCGGCATTGGTGCCCCATATACTTCGTACAGTAGTCCAGATAGTACAAGAAGTACTGGTAAAATAGACATACTCAATTCTATTTTATGTATTTCCTAAGAGACCAAGCTTAAATAAATTATTCCTTAAAATTTAGACAAAATTAATATACTTAAGCAACACTATAAGATCTACTGAGGAGCCAAGAAGGATACGACAATATATAAATTGTTAACATCATACAATACTAATATACATATTTTTTTTTGTATATTAATCATTATATTTCCAGATAAGTCAGGAAGCAATTTTCCACCTTCAAATAAATATTAAACTAATCGCAGATGTGTTCAGTGACTCAGAGCAACAAAGTAATAGAGAAAAAAATATATAGTAATGACTACCTACTAATTATTTATTACCTACATTTATAAGAAATATAAATTGATCAATAGGAGATATGGAACAGAAATATTGAATGACATTATAAATTATGACACTACGTACATGGATCATAATCCTCATGAGGTTTAGAGGTGTATTTACGTATTTGGTTTTTAATAATGTTAAAATAATAATAATAAAGTAAAAAAAATGGTCCAGCGCGAGTCGGACTCGCGCACGAAGGGTTCCGTACCATTCATTATATATGTATACAACATTATGGTGCGTTTAGACTTGAGCACGCACGAGCTGAGCGTGCGCGCACGGCATTCGTTCGCGCTCTCGGCTCCGTTCAAATTAAAAACTTATTTTTCGACGAATGAAGTGATCCATTTGTGCGCGCACAGCAGAGTTGTGTTGGCGAAAATAATGGACGATCAAGAAATAGTCGAGGCTGCAGTCATTGTTATGCACAGCTTAATTATTAAAAAGGAGATAAATCGAAAACATCGTCGCTGGTGGCAAACCCAAATTTTTAGAAATCGATATAATTTACTGCAACAACTTATATATCTGAGGAGGGCTATGATCAGTTCAAAAACTTTACAAGAATGACCAGGCCCGGTTTTAAATATTTACAAAATTTAATAACACCAAAAATTACGAACAAAAGATACAAATTTTAGAATAGCAATTTCATTAATAACGACATATTCAATATTAATTTTATTTACAAGGTTTTGCCATGCGTTATATTTTTTGTTGATTTTATAATAATACAAAGAATGTTTAACATCCCATAATGTAGGCAACTTTTCATATTTTTATAATTTTAATAAAGAAAACGAAAAAAAATCACACACGCACGAACGCAGACAAAACAAATTGCCGGTCCAAATTGAGCGTTCGCGCACACATAAAATCCTTTTGAGCACGGACCAAAAACCGACACCAGACGGCTCACGTTCGCGGCTGCTCGCGCACAGACAGATTCAGAGTGAGCGTGCGCGCACAGCCGTATCCACTTGAGCATTCGCGGAGGATCAGTGCGTGCGTGCTCAAGTCTAAGCGCACCATTAGACACTATAATATATTGATTACAAACTTTTTTCCGATTTAGCTGAAATTTTGAATGCGCGTATAAGTAATTTAAAAAAAATGAAGAAACACATTACTAAAAATTGTATTAATCAATAATAAATATGTAAAAATTAAAAAAAAGTCCCCTTGACTAGGATTCGAACCTGCCTTACTACGGCTCCAACGTCATAACAGCGTAAAGTCCTAAAGTAGGCCCTAAACGGTCAAAAATTTTGATCAAACGATTGTGTCAATCGATTGAATAAAGCATGATTTACCGTCAGAAACCCGTTTGACGATTGACTCAATCATTGATGGTCATTGATGAAAATTTACTTTGATTTACGCCAATGATTGAAGAGGGCGCTTGACCGTGTAGGAGCTTCTTGATCGATCTTTCCGTCAGTCAGCAGTCAGGCGATTAGTTCTGTTATCTGTGATCAGGCGCCCGACAGCAATCATGGAGAACTCTTCGCACGCCGACAACACCGAAACGAATTCGAGTTTACAAGTCTGTGAATAGATTTGTATCGAGATTCACCAGAACTGTGGAAAGTTAAAAGCAAGGACTACTTTAATAGAAATAAAAAAAAGCGCGGCGTTGAAAAAAATTGTGGGAGTTTTAAAAGCGTTAAAACCGGACTACACTGTTAACAAACTAAAACAAAAAATTAATACTTTGAGAACTAATTTTAACAGGGATTACAAGGCCATTGAAGGAAAAAAAGTGTCCGGGAATGGCGTTTTGATCCAAAAATTCATGGTTGATTGAAGCGACCGTCAATTATTGATTCAATCGATTGGCTCAATCATTTTATCAAACGATTGACCGTCTAGGGCCTCCTTAACGCTTTAACCACGCGGCCACCGAGGCACAAATTACCTATAACAGATGCGAAAGAAAGCGACTGCATCGTAAACCGCTCGGCAAACCCCACACGCCTATTGAGTGGTGTAAATACACCAGTTGTTTAGTCCGGAAACCTATGCTGTGTCGTATTCGCTTGCTGGAATGACATAGTGCGTGGTTATATGTTTCTTTTTAAAAACGGGTGTAGGATTTTTGTTGAACTTTTGAACTGTTGTTTCTAAGTTTTGGTAATTTGTATATCTTATTTAAAATGGGATACAAATGTGTTTATTTATAAGAAAAAAAAAAGATATTTATAGTATAAAAAATTAATTTATTTAACAAAATTTAATTAAAAATGTGACAAAATAGTACCTTTTCATTGGTTCTATCGGACTTTTTTCGACTATATAAATCTTTATTTGTAAACTTTAATACATCAAATATTTTCAATCTAATAAATCATTTAATGATGTAAATAAGAGGAAATTTCTCACATGGGTGGTCAAATTCTATAGTTTTCATTATATCAAACAGCCTCTGAGAAATGTTTTCAACTCAAAATGCCTTTAATTATGTTTGACTACATCAATTAAAAGGGTCTTCAAATACATCAATGTGATATTTGTCCAAAATTTACAAAAGAATCCGAATCTCTGGATAACTCGAAATTATTTACCCATTTAAAAGCCTTTGATCATGAAAGTGGAAAAAATTGTTCATTTTATTTACTGGAAATGGAAAAATTATTTATATTAAATTTTGATGAGTTTTGCACTGAAGAAAACATTCAGAGGCTGTTTGATATAATAAAAACAATAGAATTTGACCACCCATGTGAGAAATTTCCTCTTATTTACATCATTAAATTATTTATTAGATTGAACATATTTTATGCATTAAAGTTTACAAAAAATAGAGATTTATATAGTCGAAAAAAGTCCGATAGAACCAATAGAAAAGTAACTATTTTGTCACATCTTTAATTAAATTTGGTTAAATAAATTAATTTTTTATACTATAAATATCTTTTTTTTCCTAATCTCCTACGAACTGATATAATATGACGAGCAATCTATTAAATTACTGTGAGATTATATGCCTCGATAACATATTGGTGCAGATTATTTTCACCCAAACAAATAATAACCCAAACTATACATTGATGCGGATTGTCTATGAACTCTTTCTGAAGGTCACAGAAACCTGAACGCGTAATTCGGTGTTCTTTCGCATCTGTTGTAGTTAATTTGTGACCGAGGACTTGAAAGATTCTATGTAAAATTCTTGCTTAAAAGATAATGTTTAGTGAGAGTACTTTTTTAGTTACAAACATTTATTTAATTCTGTTTTTAGTATTTATTCTTATAGCGGCAACATAGATACATTATCTGTAAAAATTTCAACTATCTAGCTATAAAGGTTCATAAGATAGACCTTTGTGACGGACGGACGGACGGACAGCGAAGTCTTAGTAATACGATTCCCGTTTTTACCCTTTGGGTACGGAACCCTAAAAATACACATTTTTTTTTAAATAAGCACACAATATTTATACAGATTTAATAATACAAATCAAACTACAATACCAATGTTTTTGTTACTCTAAACACAGAAACGAACTAGCCGCTCACTATATGTATATGAAAAAAATGAATGATGTATGTTTATATCATATAATAACCAAAGCAGAATTTTATGTATCATTTGATTCAAGGTTCAAGTGTAAAAGTACATTTTTTTAAAATAGTATCGCGTCTGTTATAATAAGTAGTTCTGTGTATTTTAATGTGGTAAACGTCGACGTTAATCTTTTAGAGATCGACAAATTAATCATTATACAGGGAGGAGTCTTAAGTAAGTGCAAATATTTTCAGGGCTAGTAGATCTCGATAAAAGAAACATATTTTCTCTTTACTTTTTTTCAAATAAGTCCAAAATAACCGAGTTATTTTACTTTGAAAATTTTGAAACAAAAAATTCTTTAAATTTTGAGAACCACTGGGTATACCGGGTGCGTCTCAAAAGTGGCTCACCCCTGTAACCTATAACTTTTTTATTTTTTCAGATAAAAAAACGAGATTTGGTATGTTAGTATATGACATAAATTAAGATTGATTGACGTATTCAATTGTTTTTGGTCACTTCCTGTTTCATTGGAAATGACTACAACTTCTGATTTTTGGCACTCTCTTGAAATGGCACTCTCGGTATTTTTTTACTTTATTCGATAGCAAATAATATTCTGAATAAAATGGCATATCATATGTCAACTTTTGACATTCTCGCTTAATAAAAAATAGTATTTTAAAATTCAATCTAGACTGCTATGGCTATATTAAAAACACTAATTCTTAATCAAGGAACCTTGGAAAAATAGATGACGATCGTCTAATGTTTTAGTGTCTTGTCTTTTTTATCGTATTTTTAATCATACATACCTATCTTTAATTTTTTCAAATGGAACGAGGGTGGTTTATTAGCATATTTGGAAAAATCATTTCGAGTCAAATTTTCGTTACGAACTGCAAGTTATAATTTCAAATAAACCATATGCGAAAATGTCAAAAGTTGACTATATTATACCAGAAAAATAATAATAATAAGCTTTTGAATATAGACACTAGGGGGTGCTGCCTTACAATTTAACAAACATTGCGCGTTTTTTTTTTTTTTAAATAAATGCGATAATATATGTAATTTTAGGTGATGGTAAATAGTAATAAAAGCTTAAAAAGTCAGCGAAAACCGCATCTTGATATCTTTTTTCAAACCGAAGATATTAGTAAAACTATAATAAATACGAAAAAATAAGCTTTTATATTATCTTATTTTTATAACACGATATCAGTAGCCATGTTGATTTAACATTACAATAAGCACCAGGTATATTTGCTGACTTAAATTTTATACACACCAAATAAATTATATTATCTATATAACACCACAAACCACAAATTATATGAATCATTGTATTATTTATGTAAATTTAATTAATCTATGACAGCTAGATTTATATAGACTCTTTTATGCTTTCTTCCAAAGGTCTATATGGAAGTTCACAAAAATCCTAATCTTTATGTTGATTTATTCTAATGAATTTGTAAAAAAAATAGTAAAAATATAATAATGTGTTTTGAACTAAAAAATACAAATATTTACCATAACAGGACTTGAAACTGGGAAACCACATAATGTTTATTTATTGTGGTTTTTTAATAACTTTTTTCGAATTTTAAACCTGCTTATACAACATTTAGACGTCATGGAATCGTACAGTATTAGCACTAATTTTTTTGAAAGCGATATTTCATCTTTTTTATTAATTTCATATATGTATAAAATAAGTGTAGATGATACTGGCACAACTTAAATCAGTAACAGCTGGTCATCCTCACTTGTTTTTGAGTATGCGCGTGTCACTAGTCCCGATCTTTTTTCAAACGAAGCATATAAAACCATTTCTTATTATCTCATTATTAAGTAAAATTTTGTTTAGAATATAAAGGTTTTTTTTAAATTATTTGCTAAATTTAGTAATCATCATTTTCAGCTCTCTCAATCATTTCCAATTATGGTGTAGCATCCCTTACATATTTAGATACTTTCAATTGTTGTCTATTGTTGGCTATACGGGCCCAAGTTTTCCCTACTAATTTCTTAATATAATGGTCCCATCTCAAGTTTGGTCTTCCTCTAGGTTTCTTGATTCCTCGTGGGTACCATGCTGTGATTTTTGTGGCCCATCTGTTACCTGTCCTTCTTGCCAGATGTCCTGTCCATTGCCACTTGAGGGATTTGATTCTGTGGATTATAATATATTACCTAGGTCTTTTGTAGCAGAGGTCTGTATTATCCCCACTCCTTTTCAACATCTACTCCGAGGCGGTATTCCGTGAGGCACTAGAGAACGTTGAGGATGGTATTAAAATCAATGGTACCCTGATCAACAATATTCGCTTCGCAGATGATAAGGTCGTACTGGCTGGCAACATTCTACACCTTCAGAACATGATGGACTACATCGTTGAACATAGCATGCAGTACGGATTACACATCAATGTTAACAAAACTAAACTTGTTGTATTTTCCAAAACATCGGGAAAGACTGTCTTCAGAATTAACAACAAGGTGGTAGAACAAGTGTCCTCCATAAAGTATCTAGGAGCCCAAGTTAACGACGCTTGCGACCCCAAAACTGAAATTTTAGCGAAGATCGAACAGGCCAGACGTACTTTTGCTTCCATGAAAACCCTCTTCTCCAACCGAAATCTAAGTCTCGAACTGCGCATACGTATGCTGCGTTGTTACATCTTTCCCTACGGCTCTGAGAGTTGGATACTCAATCAGACATTGGTAAAGCGCATTAACGCTTTTGAGATGCACTTGTATCGTCGTATACTGCGTATATCCTGGATGGATAGAGTGACTCAAGCGGATGGGCAAAGATAAAGAGCTCCTCTCAACAGTGAAGGAAAGGAAGTTTGGTTTGGTGGATCGATATGAGGTGCTCAGACTGGTCATCGAGAGCAAAATTGAGGGCAGGAGATCAGTGGGAAGAAGGCAAAACTCCTTAAGGATCTGCGTCGTTGGTTCGAAAGAACATCGATCGAAATTTTTAGAGGTGCGGTTTCACGCACCATCATAGCCAGTTGGATCGCCAACCTCAGAAGGAAGACGGCGGCCTAAGAAGAAAAAGAAGGTCTTTTGTCGTATCCAATATAGCTGCAATACAATGCTGTTTACAGCAACACTAGAAGAAATCTTCCGTCAACTCGACTGGACCAACAATGGATTAAGTATAGATGGTGAATATCTCAACCATCGGAGAATTGGTGATGACAGAGTCCTAATTGCCAATAGTTCAGAAGAACTACAAGCACAAATTAACGAACGAAATACCGCCAGCAATAAAGTAAGTCTCAAAATGAATTTAACGAAAACTAAAGTAATGAACAACGAACTAGTAGACAGAAAAGACATTCTAATAAATATCACAAAACTGGAAATAGTAGAAGAATAAATATATTTGGGACAACTAATACACAGTCCGGGATCTCTACTACCAAAAATTAACAGAAGAATTAAGTTAGCATAAAGTACTTATGGAAGAAACTCAATGATATTCAAATCTAGAATGCCACTTTATCTAAACAAGAAAACATTTGTCAATGCGTACTACCAGTCATGACCTATGCATGCGAAACCAGGACACTTAAAACGGACATCATAAGGAAACCGCAGGTCGCACAACGCTAAATGAAACGAAATATACTATATATAAACGAAATAACCAAATTTAGTAGTACATTAGTTAAACTACAACTAATATAGGCTTAAAAGCAATAAAAATGGAACCCGTTTAATGTAAAATGCTACTGGTTGTGCCTGTTTACACTAAATTAAGCCATAATACCTACGCTTATAGCACAGAATAAATATAGTGTGTCCTAAATGCATTTTTCTTATTTAAATCTTGTTCGAATAACACAAAAGCATTTGGCATTGGCAAAATCATAGGTTGGCAACTGAAAGTTTGTTGGCATTGCCGTGGTTTTGCATTGTTCAGTTTTAATTTAAAAATCAGGGCAGCCAATATTTGTGCTGATCAAAATTTGCATGGGATTTTCTGTTTCTAACAACGATACGTCACCTAATATACCGGGTGCGTCTCAAAAATTATTCACCCCCTATAACTTTATTATTTTTTCAGTTAAAAGAACGAGATTTGGTATGTTAGTATATGACATAAATTAGGATTCATTGACGTATTCAATTGTTTTTGGTCACTTCCTGTTTCATCGGAAATGACTACAACTTTTTGTTGTTTATTTTATTCCATAGAAAAGTACATTCTGAATAGAATGGCATATCACATGTCAATTTTGATATTTTCGCATATGGTTTATTTGAAATTATAACTTGTGGTTTGTAATGAAAATTTGACTCGAAATGCCAAGTGTGTGGTATCAAATTGTTCGTAAAAATGCTTTTTCCAAATACGCTAATGAGCCACCTCCATTCCATTTGAAAAAATTGAGACACGATTAAAATACGATTTGGGTATTTTTTAACCGGCCAAAACAAGACACTAAAAACATTTAACGGTCAAATTTATTTATCCAAGGCTCCGCAATTAAAAATTAGTGTTTTTAACATAGTCACAGCACTCTAGATTGAAATATAAAATACAATTTTTTATTTCGCGGGAATGTCAAAAGTTGACATATTATGATATGTCATTCTATTCAGAATGTCATTTTCTATCGAATAAAGTAAAAAAGTACCGAGGGTGCCATTTAAAAATCAAAAGTTGTAGTCATTTCCAGTGAAATAGGAAGTGACCAAAAACAATTGAATACGTCAATCAATCCTAATTTATGTCATATACTAACATACCAAATCTCGTTTTTTATCTAAAAAAATAAAAAAGTTATAGGGGTGAGCCACTTTTGACACACACCCGGTATAAAATTTATTAAAGGCCAAAAGAGTACGTTTATATCAAAAAGAAAGTAATAAATATTAGTAATATGAAAAATTAAGTTGGGCGATAATTTACACAGAACTAATTTTTAAAATTGTTTCCTGGACGTGAAATTTAATTCCAAAAAGGAAATTAAATCGAATTTCTTTATAAATTATACATATTATAAAAATATGTAAAAGAAAAATATTAATTTTAAATAATTACTTATAGACTTATGACTTCATGACGTCTGATCAGGTCTAAAATCCAATAAAAATTATGAAAATACCCAACCAATTATCATATTTATTTTAAAAACATACGTGAGGTTAAATAAAAAAGACATAATTTTGCAGGTTCAAGTATGTTATTATGGCAAATAGATTTATTAGTTCAATTCAACAATTTGTTTTTTTATTATTTTTTTAATATAAATAATAAATAAATATTGTTTATGTCAAAAACATGATTTGCGGTCTTGGATTCGCATTGATAATAGTCCAATTAGAGTCACTTTTGGGGGTAGCCTCGTAAATTTTGTTTTTCTAAGGTTGGTTTTTCCTAAAGTATTTAACCACGCGCCGCTACTGGTTGAAATAGTGGTTTTAATAAAATGAATGAAAAACGCAACTCATCTCTAGATCATTGACATTTAAGCCTGTTTCATTTAACAAGTTGAACATTAAAATACAATAAGCAAAACCGCAGAAAATAAAAATAGGTGTTTTAAATGTGTATTGTAACTTGTAAATTACAAAGCATAATTTGTTGGAAATATACCCAGAAATTATGAATAAGAGGGCATTTTAATAAGATATGTAAGGTGCTTATTGTAATATATGATTCAACCTTATGAGGAATATACAGTATGTCCCCGGATTGTCTTTACAAGAGGATTTATTTTATTATTGACATTTTGGGAAAAATGCATTATTCGCTAAACTTTACCAGCAGCAAAAATATGACGTTAATCAAAATTAATAATAAACCTCTATCAATGAATCAAATCGAAATACAATATTATTATGTTTTTTTCCATAGCAACTGTTAAAATTGCCTTATATCTATCAAAAATAGTAGATAAAATAGTACTTTAACCGCAAGGGTAGGATAATTGATACTTTAACAGCCAGGAAAGAGGTTAAAAACTTTATTTCATCTCGCACGTTTTTTAATTGCTTCCATTTTTGAATTTTTTTTTCCTTTTCATAAATTATTCGGGATTTAAATGGAAGTAGTTTGGATATGGCGTTTGTCGCCTCAGCCTGAATATCTGATGGTAATTTGCTTATTTCGTTTTGAGCCATTTCTGGCTCCAATTCAATCAGCAATCGACACGAAAGAGAATTAAAAAATATTTACTCAAAACTGATAACTAAAGAGACAGCTTTATTTATTTGTCAAATTACATAGTAACCAACGCCAACCCAGCACAATATATTTTCTACTGGTAATAAATTCCTTGAAATAATAATTTCTGAATATTTTTTAAAACGTAACTCGCTTTGGAAAAAATATTGTTTTATACACGACGATAAAATTGCATTATCGACTCCCGAAAATAATTAATCTTTTCGGTCGACGATAAAATACCATTTTATCGTCTTGTATTAAAAAATAACTATTTATTTTCTCTAAAATGGTGGGTAAATTTGTAAAAGTATAAACGGGTTTAACCATTTAAAACAAGCAAGAAATTTTATAAAGAACGCATTTTTCTCAAAATGTCAATAATGAAAAGAGATTCCTCTTGTAAACACAATCTGGGGACATACTGTATGTGAATTATCCAACATGCAAAAATATGTTTTATAATGTACAGAGTGATTCAATGAAAAAGTAAAGTTGATTATTTCATTTATTTTGAAAATTATTAAAAATTGTTAAATAGAAAAATTTTAGGTTATTTTAAGATACACATTTTAAAATATTTTTGAATATAAAGAGTTCTTATATAATAAATATATAATAATAAACGATACTGCAGAACAATTACATTTAAATATTTTTTTCAGAAACTGCTTAAATTCAAAGAATATAAATATTTGAAATTATCTCAAACTTACCCCCTTTATATCGACACTTATAACTAACCACAAAATATATATAAAATATTATTCAGATTTAATTAAATCTATTTCTAAATGATTACATTCAACTAGTACTCTATATAACGAACTTGAACTCAAACGCTATTTCCTAATGTAGTACTGAAACCTTACTGAAACCTGTTCGCGCCTTCCAAGTTCATTTTATGACGAACAGGTAATATAATTGTCATTGAAATTTATGAATAATTAATTTTCTAAACCCGTTTGACAAAACCGAAAAATGGCGAAAACTATATAGGTACCTAGGTAGAAAGAAACGTCAAATAATAAAGAAGAGACCTAAGGAAATACCCAGTTACTGACGTAAATAAATTCTGAATGGAAAAAGTACTTCTGCAAACAAAACTAGTAGTTAGTTCTCTTCGGGTAATGTGAGATTCAAGGTTCTTGTTTTATATGTAAATATCTCTGTATAATGGTTAAACACAGTTCAAGCAAAAGGTCTGTGAATATACAGAGTGATTTCTAAACATATTTTATAATTTCTGCTATAATTTAAAAACGCATTTCTTGTAATTTGAATAAATAACTAAATATTACTTCTGGATCAACTGGAACTTAAGCAAAGAAATTTAAATTGCACTCTGTATACAGCGTCCGGCAATAGTGCGTCGGGCATCTGTAGTTCATAGAATAAAAAGCTTAAGTGCAAACCTAAAGTATGTACCAGGATGTATTTCCGGAAAATACTTTAACTTCTATAGGGTGGCTCAAAAAAGTGTGAGTGGATCTGGATGATTTTTTTAAAATGGAACACCCTGTATATTATGCATTTTTGGCTTCCTTTCAGATCACTTTACATAATCCTAAAATATGAGTAAATCTATTTCGATAGTTTCAGAGATATTAAAAAATAAATCAAAAATATATATTTTTCAGAACTTCTTAAAAAAGATTATTAAAAATACAAGAACTCTGCTCTAAAATCAAAACTATATTAGGTATTTTCTTTAGATGGTCTGTTCTTACTTTGCTATAAGTATGGTAATCGTAAATCATACAGGATGTTCAATATTCTACGGCAAACTTTCAAAAATATACAATAATTTTTCTTCGTTTTTTTAAATGGAACACCGTGTATATTATTTTTTTATTAGATGGAGAATTAAAAAATGAAAATTTTTTGTAGTTAAAGTATTTCAAAATTTTTAATAGTTTTCCAGATACAGGCAGTATTATTTCATATGGCGCTTTCAATGGTAAAATACGAGAGAAAAAGCATTGGGTGGCTTTGATTAAAATTTACTGTGGAAAATGCCATATGAAATACAAAACCGGAAATATCTGCAAAACCGTTAAAAATTTTGAAACACTCTTGAAAAAATAATATACAGGGTGTTCTATTTAAAAAAAGAAGAAAATTTATTTTATATTTTAGAAAGTTTGGCGTAGAATTTTGAACATCCTGTATGATTTACAATTTCCGTATTTATAGCAAAGTAAGTACAACCCTTCTAAAGTATATATACAGTTTTGATTTCAGGACATTTTCATTTTTTTTCAAAAAATTCCAAATTTTCAATTTTTTTTGCGCGAAAAAAAAACATCATAATCGTGTTTCTGGGGTTGAAATACTACCACTAAAAATATTTGCACTTATTTAAGACTCACCCTGTATAGTTCATATTAAAGTTTTTGATTATAATGTAATACTCTTGTTATATACCGTATGATAAAAAAACGGCTTCCAGTTGGCTTGGAAATAAACATCGATGACATTCGATGACAAGCGATCTTCGTTTCATATCCATCGCTGACGCTGTTTTATTTTTCGATCATATGGTATAAGCAAGGGCAATACCGTTGTAAGTTGTAATACATCTAATCAATAACTTTAATATGAAATATATACCTTAAATAATTATTAAAAATATTAAATTAAATCAATAAAATGTGTATAATATTATATTTTATGAAATCTGTTATAATTTTACGAATCTTTTTACAGATTTAGTTTTATTTATATACACTACCTCTGAAAAAAACATAAATTTGTAATTAGTTAAGATTATTTTGTATTTGAATAAAAATATTTTTAAAGTTTGTCATAAAAAGACGTCAGTGCTTTGAAAATATGTATTTCAATTTTCAATAAGTTTATTTATCTAATAATTTTTATATTATATAGGGCAATAATATAGCATAAAGCTCTTGTATAAAATCTAAATAATTAAAACAAATAATTTCACTTTTTTATAAAAATAAATACTTTAATTATTTTTAGCCGATTGTTAAAAAAGCATTATGGTTTAAATTTTAACCGCAAAGACAACACACAAATTTCTTTTTTCTCGACCAAATCCTGTTATTATATCATTCGCTCTGGTCACATTGACATTCACTCTTGATTTTACAATTTTACACCTTTTTACTACTCAAATGCCAAAAAAAAAGGCAACAGGGAAATTTTTAGTCAAATTTAACGTGTTATATTTTTATTATTTTTAGCCCTATTTTCATGATTTTTTTAGCAAGCTGTATATAATTATATCAACTTTAATTCGTAAACTCAGTTTATTATAATCTATAATATTTGGCATGTTATACAGGGTTAATCGAGGGGTTGTTTTTTACCTTAAATTTAAAACACCCTGTGCAATAATTTCGTTTGTAAATTTTCCTAAAATATAGTCCTGAACATTTTGTTTTTTGATTGATGTCAATATATGCTTTGGTTAATTTTTAAGAGCGAAATGAATTGATCACGATCAATTTGCAATTTTTCAATTATCATTACTTTTTTATGTAATTTTTTAATATGACGGGATGGTTTTGGTGACTATTGTCGTAACGTCATATTGCGCTGGATTGGATTAGTAAGTAACATTAATAACGATAACAAATCTAATGATATTAACAAAAAAATCTGTAATACTCAAGTACAAACAGAAAACAAAAATTGTAAAAAATACCCTAATACTTTGTATTACTTGCCTTGGTTGCTATAACTGCCTGTAGATGTCCGTTCATACTGTCATTCAGGCTGCATATATCATATTGTTTTATGTTTTCCAATTCTTCTTTAGAGACCGAGTGAAGTTCATTTAATGAAGCTGGTAACGCTTCGCGACCTTTAACCCTTTTGCCAAGCATTTCCCAAACGTCGAACATGATGGGCAGTTCATAGTAGTGTATAGTTCACAATAATCACCAAAGCCGCCTTGTCATATTCAAAAATAACTTCAAAAAGAAATGATAATTAAAAAAAATTGCAAATTGTTGGTGGCAAGTTCATTTCGCTCTTAAAAATTAACCAAAGTATGTATTGACCTGATCCAAAAAACAAAATGCTCAGAGACATGGTTCTCACCGTAAAATTATAATTTAAGAAAATTGACACGCGAAATTATTGCACAGGGTGTTTTAAAGTTAGGGTAAAAAAACAACCCCTCGAGTAACCCTGTATAATATGCCAAATACTAAAGTTTATAAAAAAACTGAGTATAAGAATTAAAGTCGATATAATTATATACAGCTTGCTAAAAAAAATATAAAAATAGGGCTAAAAATAACAAAAATATGACACTTTAAATTTGGCCAAAATTTTCTCTGTTGCGTTTTTTTTGCATCTGAGTGTATATAAGCCGAAATCATTAAAAATAAATAGAAATATAACAACCCTACCTGCGGAAACAAAGTAAAAATACAACACAAAACAGAGTAACAGTATTACACAGGTACACAAAGACAATGAATAAACTACCAATTCTTTCAGCAACGCGATGAATTTAATGATAGTACCATAACAATACCATAATCATTAATTCCAACTGTGTATTACTTCAAATAACTTTATTGCGAAGCCATATGATACCAAGGCTGTCCATATTTTACTTCTCGATGGTGTTTTTATGATAATTTCAATTTGATGATGAGTGCGATCTCGCTTAAGTTTGTTTTGTAGTATTTTAAAGCTATTGTGCTATACAGGGTGTCGCTTAAATAAGTTTGCAAGTATTTTAAAACGCGGTAGAGTTGAACAAAATAAACGCATATTGTTTATTTATTATTTTTAAAATAAATTAAACTATGTAAAACCGACGCGCGACGTCTCGTCTTTGAGCTGCCAATATCAACTTTAATGAGTTTTAAACTAAATGGTATTAATGAATTTTAATATGATCTTCATGTGAAAAAATATATTCTCTATCTCTCACATGATCTCTTATGGAAAATGCCATTAATACGAATTTTTCCTTTGCTTCCTTTGCCTCTATTTATATGTGTTTTGTACCATTTTATATACAGGGTGTCCCAGAAATAAATGCAAGTATCTTAACTGGTAGTATAGTTCAACCCCAGAAACACGCCTATGAGTTTTTTTTTCGCGAAAAAAAAATGAAAATTCGAAATTATTGGATATTTTTTTTAGTTTTTAGTTAATGATCATAATTTCTTGATAATATGGCAACATAGGTATTAGATTAAATTTACAAGAAAGAAAATCCAGAAAAGATCCAGTGGTTCTCAAAATTTTAGCAACAAATCATTTTTTTTGGAAATTTTCAAAGTAAAATAACTCCGTTATTTTGGACTTATTTGAAAAACAATAAAGAGAACATAAGATCCTTTTATCGATATCTACCACCCCTTAAAATACTTGCGCTTATTTCTGGGACACCCTGTATATATCTTCTAATTTCCAAGATACCAATAGAGATTCGAATTTAGGAAATCCTGTGCATAAGAAATTTGATTTAATAGATAAACACCTCGATAACCCAATGGTATGTGTATGAATCCATTATTCAGTATTAAAATATAGTACTTTTAGCTATAGACTGGTATAATAAATACATGGTGCGTCTCAAAAGTGGCTCACCTCTATAACTTTTTTATTTCTTCAAATAAAAAAACGAGATTTGGTATGTTAGTATATATGTTACTGTAAATGTCCGAAATGCAGTAAAACTTAGGATAAGCGGGCTAAACCTAGGATTTACCAAAAACATGTGTGTCCCAAAGCCGAAAAACCAACTAACCAATGAATTAACACCCTCCAAATAACCACGCGAACCAACTCGCCAAATAACTAAACCAATCCAACCAAAAAGTGTGAAACCAATGCAATCAAACCACACTATAAGCAAAAAAAAATAATCGAATAAAATTAATTTTTCGGGTTTGGGAGATATTCCTTGGTTTAACGCGCTTATCCTAGGTTTGATTGCTTATCCTATATGACATAAGTTAGGATTGGCTGACATATTCAATTCCTTTCGACCACTTCCTGTTTCACCGGAAA